TTTTTTTTTTTTTTTTTTTTATAACTACATAATTGCGTATGCGCATACTCACCAATTAAATTTCTCACATATGACGGGGAAAATAATATTCACATAACGTAAAAACGTTAAGCGTTTGCGGGAAAGCGGCATTAATTTATTTTACATGTCTAACGAAGTAAATTAATATAGCTTTTTTTTTTTTTTTTTTTTTGACAAACGTAGCAGTTAAGTTGTTCCTTTTTTTTTTTTTTTTTTTTTTTTTTTTTGGGTGTTTATTCCCTTGTCAGGGATTGGAAATACTGTAATACATTCATCATCGCATACACACGCGTGTACATACGTAGGTGAATTCGCCGAGCCCCATTTGGATCCTCATAGCACATACCATAACTTAACGCAGTGAGGATGGAAAGAGCGTCCAAATGTAGACCTTCATTTTGTGGAAGACACAATTGTACATTCCCCCTTTGTGAAAATAAAATTATTATGTGAAAAAAAAGGCAAGCAAAAAACAGGAAAAAAAAAAAAAAAAAAAAAAGAAAAAAAAAAAAAAAAAAAAAAGGACAAATAAGTCAACAAAGGGGTGAACAAATAAATGAACAAATAAAGCCGTAACAGTGGACAGTGAATAGGTCAACAAATCCAACTGTGTGTTCTTTGCACGGCAACTGGACAAAAGGGGCCCATTGGGGGCCTCCCATTCAGTTACACCTGCACATACATAAGTACTTATACATTTGTGCGCATTATAATGGTGAGTTTTCTTTAAGCGTAAGGCGTTCATCGCGCATGAAGGGGGGGGGGGGGGGAAGGAAAAGGAATAGAAGCGCCAAATAAGAACATTACAAGCGGGCGCATTCGTTTAAACGATAAAGCTTTATGCTAACCCTTCTGGACGCAACCTTGAATAAGCTACACTGGGACATTAGTGTCGTATCACATTAGCCAAAAGACGCGAGAATACACGTGCTCTACTTGTAATCTCGATTAGTGACATGTAGCTATTTTTGGTTTCCATGTTCTACAAATTACACCGTAATGGGGAAAAAAATGGCGAAAAGTATGCTTCTATTTTTTGTACAGAATAATAATCTGCCTTTTAAGAAGTGAAGCACTGTCGAATGGGAAATATTTTTCCACCCATGTGTGTGTATACCTAGGCGTGTGTTTTTTTTCCCCTCCACCGTTGACATTTTTTTTTTAAGCTTCCGCCAAAAGGGGATGATATAAGTTGAACAATTCTGGTGGTAAAAGTGGCGGCGCGTTGACTAATGATACGTTGCGCAGGCGAAAAAAAAAAAAAAAATGCAAACCTTTTTAAATATGTACAAAAGGAAGGCTGTACCGTGCCAGTGAAAAAATCTCCTCACCTTCCTTTTGCGCAACTATACAATTGCTAAACTGTTAATTAAAAATGTTCATACAAATGTGTGGCGGATATTTACCTTTTAAGTATGCGGAAAATCCCCCTTGAAGTAAAAAAAAAAAAATGTAATTATTTTATTAATTAATTTTTTTTTTTCTTTTCTCTCTCCTCTGGTTGGTAAGCTGAAGCATGCCTACACGTGTACAAAATAACCAGCGCTACACTTTTTCTTTCACTCGTACAATATGCCAATTGTGTTCATGCTCTGTGTGTGCCATTTGACCAGAATGCGTTCCTGCTGTGCGCCTCATTTTGTTGTGTCTCCCTTTTAGGCCTTCCAATGGTAGTGTAGATAGGTGTAGGGAAATTCTAATCATATATTCAATATACTTTAATTAGGAATATTCTTTTTTTGTTTTTTGTTCACCCTTTTTTCGCGACCGTGCATGCATTTTTTTTTTTTTTGCAACCGTGTAAAATGAAGCGAAAATAGTGGGCACCGAGAATGCATAGATTAGGTGGTTGTGATAACCGTTACTAATGTGATGCTTACACTTACACAAAGGAGGACTGTGACACCTGAGAGATCACTTTATAAATTATCACTGAACAGAATAAATCGAAGAAATTCACCATTTAATATAAACCAATTTTGATTTTAATTTTCCAACTTGTGTTTAAGTGTGCCCAGGGACAGAGAGTTGGAGAAAAAAAAAAAAAAGCTTTTTTCTGCGACGTTTACAAGCACACCAAAAAGTGATGTAATCATTTTGTTTTTTTTTTTTGGAATAAATGATTTTCAATGGAGATAATCTAATCTGTTCCTTGTACTGGTACTCTGGCTTAGTAGAATATATGTTTTCGCTGGTTCGCCTGGGTGTTATCTGAAGAGGCGCATTGCTGTGCACAGCCATTTTTTTTTTTTTTTTGTTTTTTTCCTGGGGACTAGAAATATCCGCAAATTTGTAAAAAAGAAGAAAAAAAAAAAAATTGCTACACTTTTTCACGACACAGGGCAAGATGCGTATGCGTAAAAAATACGTACACGTAAAGTGCAAGCGGTACATGCATACGCACGTATAAGTTCATATATATATATTCATACATGTGGGCATCCCTGGGGCATCGACAAAATAAATGAACAAAATTAACACGCGTTGCGCATACGCACGGCGCCCATATGCTATATACCACCATTTGCGTACACAAGTAAACATATACTTTCCCCCTTCTTTTAAAAAAAAAAATAATAAAATTTTCATTCATCGCATACAGCACAAGAAAGTATGTGCTATAATAATTTAAAATAGCCAATGTTAGCGTAAAAAAAAGAAAAAAGAAAAGAAAAAAGAGGCGTTCACTAATATGTGAATAGTGGGAAAGATTTTGAAAGCGTAAGAACACGGGGACTGATTATGTTCTCAATGGTTAAGGACGCAACGAACGCTTAAGGAACTCCTGGGGAAGCACGAACAGGATACACAAAACCGGAGAGGCTATGCAAACACGAAAGTGGCACTGAACAGGGACAAACGCCCCGAATTGCATATGCCGATTGACCAGAACAAAAAAAAAAAAAAAAACTCCTCATCTGTATCTACGGATCGAGCGTTTTTTGTGTTTTTTTTTGCATTTTCTTATCCACCTAGTGGTAGTATAAATGCCCAACACACTGAACTGTGTTTTCCCCGAGGGAGAATTAAAATACAATAGAATAAACACGTATGCTGTAGGGGAAGGAAGCATTTATAAGAATGACGCTCTAACGCAAAGGCGAGAGGTGAATACAATAAATTGCCTTAACAAGAATATATCAAATTTGCAGAAGAGAACCAAAACGCAGGTGCAAATATATAACACGTTGAGACGCGCGTGAAGGAACAAATTCGAAGTTACTGCATAGGAGGGGGTGTTCCGCAAGAAATACACACCACTATAGGTGCAGGCAGCGGAAAAGGTGTTTGTGTGTGTGTGTGTATATGTATACATGTGCGCACGTGCATGTGCAAGGGGACACACGGAGCAGTGGCAGTGGTAGTATCCGCACTACACGCAACGTTCGTGCCAGCGGACACGTGCACACGTATACACATAAAGACAAACGTTTGGGTTGTACCCCTTTCTGTGTCCGTCCAACCTGAGCACCAAATACGCATATTTTATATATACCACCTCTCCCCCCAAAAAAAAAAAAAAATGGACTTTGAGAAGAACTTGCACCAAAGTGACATCGTCACGTCTGCCTCGGGTGTCATAGCACTGCTAAACGAAGAAGAAGCAAGTTTGAAAATCTTCGGGTTGGAAAAACTGAATGCAATTGTAGATGTGTATTGGCCCGAATTAGCAGATTATATTTTTAAAATAGAAGAATTATGTGAGGATCAGAATTTCGTTGGAAAAGAGCTAGCCAATTTGGTGGCTAGTAAAGTTTATTTCCATTTGGAAAAATATCCTGAAGCGTTAAAGTATGCACTTTGTGCAGGCAAGCTGTTTAACATAAATGAAAAGTCGCAGTATGTAGAAACAATGCTAGCCAAATGTATAGAAAAGTATGTGGAAATTCGTGAGAGGAATTATGAGGGTCAAGTTACAAGCAGAAGTAGTAACAGCAGCAACAAACGTAGTGCTAACCACCACAACAACAATGATGTGAACATGGAGCATAGCACTGTTCATCAGGGGGATGGGAGTATTAATGAGGCAAACAACGAGATGAACCCTAACAATTACGTGGAGGGAGGTTCCTATACCACTCACATGGGGCCTGACAATACATACAACAGAAGCAATTTCAACCTCTACAATAACCATGAAGGTAATAATGAAAAAATGGAAAGCGATACAGATATTTTTAAGGAAGACCTAAATGATGAAATTCACCAGAAGATGGAAATTTTCGTGGACGAAATGTTAGAAATTTGCATGCAGAATAATAGCGTTAAGGAAGCCTTAGGGGTAGCGCTAGACGCTAGAAGACTAGACAAAGTAGAATACATAATTGTAAATTGTCCTAATAAGATTGAAATCTTACAACACTCTATTACAAATGAAAGGTATATTAATACGACAAAAAAATTTAGAAATGACTTCTTCAAACTGCTAGTGAAAATATACCTTTCAATGGATCCAGAAGAATTAAAAACCGAATACATAAATTTGTGTGAATGTTTATTTTACATTAACGATTATAAAAAGGTTGCTGAAATTTTACTAAATTTGATTAACGATTATCATTTGATGGCATATCAGATTTCCTTCGAACTTGTAGATTTGGAAAATCGAACTTTTTTAAAGGATATTTTAAAACACATTAAAGAGATTTTGATACAGAATAAGTCCTTTTACTATGGGGAGCACAGCTACTCCGGGGAATCGAAAAAGAGGTCCAACCTCCATTTGGGTGGAGACTGTGCTGCGGATGATGCGGTCAAGGAAGAGGAGGTCCCCAGCACAGATCCACAGCAGGAGGAGTCTGCACCGGGGGAGGCCCAGGACGACTCGGAGAAGAAAAACGCAGATGAGGGGAGCGGTCAAGACAGTGCTCCCAATGGGGCAAATGCTGCTAACGCTGCTAACACTGGCAACCCGGCCAACGCGAACACTAGCGGCGGCGTCAACAACAACCTGCTGGGCAGCGAGGAGGACAAGCATAGGCTCTCCGATGATATCCTCATGTACATAAGCGAGAACCACAAGCTGTACGATAAAGTCAAAAAGCTGGTGTACATATTGACAGGAAAGGTCACCATAAATTTGTATATGGAATTCCTGCACCGAAATAACCACGCCGATTTAATCCTACTAGACAGTTACAAAAATGTAGTAGACTCTAGAAGCAGCATCACCCACCATGGGATCGTCATAGCCCACGGGTTAATGCAGACAGGCACAACATGTGACGTCTTTTTGCGCTCCAACATTGAGTGGTTATCCAAGGCGATAAATTGGGCTAAATTTTCTTCCACAGCGTCTCTTGGTGTGGTGTACAAAGGACATGTGAATGAATCATTTATCGTTCTCTCATCACATCTACCATGCAACGACGTGACGAGACAAATTACAAACACTCTGAACGTAGGCATATCGCCCAGTGGAGTTTATTCAGAGGGGGGCTCCCTATATGCCCTTGGGTTAATACATGCCAATTATAACACAAATGATAAGAAAGTGAAAAACTTTTTACTAGCTCAATTAAAATTAAATGTAAACGATGAAGTGTTACAACATGGTTGCTGCCTAGGGTTAGGGTTAGTGTGCATGGGAGAACATGATGATGATCATGTATATGATGAGTTGAAGGGGGTCATGTATTCAGATTCAGCAGTGGCAGGAGAAAGTGCAGCTTATGCAATTGGCCTGTTAAAACTTGGTAGTGGAGATGAGAAATGCGTGGATGAATTGTTAGCCTATGCACATGATACGCAACATGAAAAAATAACACGGGCCTGTAGTATTAGTCTAGGGTTTGTAATGTTCCAAAAGGAAAAAGGAGCTGATGCATTGATTGAAGAATTAATTAACGATAAAGATGCCATTATACGATACGGAGGAATGTTTACCATTGCTATGGCGTACTGTGGTTTATCTAGCTATAATAAGCATATAATAAAAAGGCTATTGCACTTTTCCGTATCAGACGTAAGTGATGATGTCAGGAGAGCAGCTGTTATAGCATTAGGTTTTGTCTTGTGTAACAGTCCATCTCAAGTTCCCATGTTTTTAAACCTCTTAATTGAAAGCTACAATCCACATGTACGTTACGGGGCTGCACTTGCACTAGGAATCGCATGCGCTGCGTCAGGAAATGAAGAAGCTATCAATATGCTCATGCCAATGCTAACCGATACAACTGATTTTGTAAGGCAAAGTGCATTCATATCTTTAGGCCTAATTTTCCAGCAATCAAATGAACACGTAAATCCAAATTTTAAAAAATACAAAGACGAAATTATGCGTATTTTATCAGACAAGCATGAAGATATTATTGCCAAATTTGGTGCCACAGTAGGTGCTGGTTTGTTAGATATATGTGGAAGGAATGCCATTTCGACCTTCTTCACAAGAAGAGCAAATATTATTAGACCACAGGCAGCTGTTGGCTTTTGTTTATTTAGCCAACTGTGGTATTGGTTTCCGCTGATCCATATGATTAGCTTGACCTTCCTTCCGACTTGCTTAATTGGATTAACTGAAGATTTGAAGGTCCCCAAGAATTTCTCCGTCCTCTCCACTTGCAAAAATCAGACATTTGATTACCCCTCCTTTTTAAGCAAAGAAAAAGCACAAGAGAAGAAGGAAACCGTCACGGCTGTTTTGTCTACCACTGCGAAAAGGAAAACATTAAAATTGAAGAAGCAAAAAAGTGAGAATAAATTAGCCAAGGAAAAAACTGCCCAGGATGACAACAGCTCCGTTTTATCTGATGGTAAATCTATGAAGAATTTGGAAGTCCTCAGCACGGCTGCTACCGTGGGCCAGTCCAGTCACGTGTCCCATGCGGAGAGCGTCGAGGGCAGTGCCAATGACGACACGACGAATGAGCAGGCCAACGAGGCTAGCAACTTATCCAACTTGCAGAAAATGAAGAAGACCGACACCAAGGGCAAGGTCTCGACCATCCAGTCCATCAACAACACGGTGAGTGGCCATGCATGCATTAGTGCGTAGCCGTGTGTGAAGCGTGTCCGTGTCATGCGCGATTTAGTGCATCCCTTGATTATCCCCCCCGCCCGCGTACTGCTGTACACAACCCTGAGCGGCTTAACGCCGAATGTATCACCTCAAAACATGTGCTCATTCCGTTTCCCCAATTTTTACCCTCTCCCCCATTCCGCAGGTCGACATGAAAAACCCTTGCAGAGTAATCAAAACGCAGGAAAAGTTCATCGAATACCAGGCCAACAGCAGATTTAAGCCCATCCTTCCCTCGCGAAAATCGGGCTTCATCATGCTTGTGGACACGACGTAAGGAGCGATGTGACGAGCGCAGCAGAGAAAAAGGAAATGTTTATCATTCTATATTGTTTTATTTATTTTATTTTGTTTTCTATGTTCCCCCTGTTTACACCATTTTGTGAATCCCTGCCCGCTTCTTTTCCTTTTTGCAGACCCTCGGAGCCGTCCGACTTCATCGAAATAAATCTCGAGAACACCGCGAAGGAGGCCCCTCCCTTTGAGCCCTTCGCGTGGAAGGAAGAAAATTGATTTACACTTGTGCGGCGCATTGGAGCAAAGTTTTGTTAAGCACTAATTAGCCATATTTTAAGCGCCTTTATTTTATGTGCCCTTCCATTTATCAGGACGCACTCCCCCATATATATATATATATATATATATATATATATATATATATATAATATGCATTGCGAGGAGTGGAAGAATTTGTCCCATAAAACAACAATAAGCGCGTATCATACACCTATTTAAAAGCGCGAAAAAATTATACATGTTCATGCTGACTTTATCAACATGTTTTATAAGCGCCCATATGTATCATATTTGGTTGTCTCTCCCCTTCCCTGTGTGAGAAGTGCAGTCGATTTTCTTTTTTTTTTTTTTTTTTTTTTTTTGCATATAATTAGAAGAAAAAGGCACATATATCAATCGCCACAACATTTGAGGAATAAAAATGAAACCCATTTATTAGCCATGTACAATCCCACAAAAACAATTTTCATGCGGCTACGTCGCTCGAATGTGCTGTGAACCATGTGCACATATGTATATACATACATACTTACATAAACACCCTGTACACGTTTGTGCAAATCAGCGCGTGACGCACTGATGGATGAGTGCACACACTAACCACTCCTGTGTTGTTGAAATAGACATTTCACAAAAAAGTTTTTTGGCACACCTTGTCGTACCTCCTTCACCAAAGTTGCATTTAAACAAATAACCATTTTTCATTACCATTTCGGGGACTTAATAATGTGCCCATATTTAATCCTCCCCTTTAAATTTAAACAAAAAAATTACTGCAAAAAAGCTAAACACACTTCTTTTTTTTTTTTTATGTTCACATTAGTCAATTGAAAAGGTCAAAAAAATCGTATGCGAGATTGTCCATACGCCGTTGTTTGTCAACTGGAGCGCAGACTCATTTTGTAAAAATTTTAAAAGTGGATAAGAGAGGCACTTTTTATTTTTCTAAAATAATTAATTTTAACAATTTAAAAAAAAAAAAAGAATTAATGTTTTTTAATTACAGCGAATGCAAATAAAACACCACGCGCTTCCAACCGTCGCATGCATGAATTTAACAAATGCGTGCAAAAAAAAAAATGGAAGCAACTGCGCGTGGGCACACATAGACATGTATATGTATGCATGTATATGTATACATAAATATACAATTCATTTCCAGCGCTATTCATTTCTGCCTCGTGGATCTCTTCGCCCCGCATGTCCAATGGAAGACATACACCTACACATATGTCCTTACAACCCTGCACACTTCTCCATGCTTCGTCCACATTTAATCTTCATTAAATTAAAAATGGAAATACTGATAATTTATGTTACACCTCAATGGTGCTCCATGTATCAGAATGAAAAATGCACCATGTAATTTCTCCATAAAAAAAAAAAAAAAAAAAAAAAAAACCCTGTGTATCATCTTCAACGCTCCATATACACAATTGTTGTTGTTCAACTAAAAAGGCACAAAACAGCTTAACAAAAAATGTATCTGTGCTAACATAAAAATTGAGAACACAAAAGCATGACGACATGGGGCGTACAAAGGGTAAAATGGGAAGCCAAAAAAAAAAGACAAAAAAGAAAAGTGCAGGGAAGGAAAGGGGGGAAAACAAGGGAGACTAAACAAAATAAGCTGACTGGAAGAAAAAACAGATGGACCCAAACAAAAAAAAAATCCTTGATAGGGTGTATATATATAATGCGTATTGATAGATAGCTGGAGCCGCCGCCTCCCACTTCTCACGTTTCTCCGTTCTCGAAGGTGCTCTGCTTATTCTTATTCTGATGGGCCTTGGTGTCGGAGCTGAACCACTCGAAATTTATTATGCTATTCAGCTTGCTACATAAATTGTTATGCTCGGACAAATTCACGTTCATTCCATTTTTTTTTCCGTTTTGCGCCGGTTGTGTGTTCATACCATGTGAAGATCCTGCCTCTGTCAATGGTGCAGCTGCGTGCGGGGGTAATAAGGCCGCCTTGCGGCTATCCTGTTGTCCCCTTTTCTTATGCGCACTGGTGCCATTGGAAGTAGGACTAATGGAATTATTTAAGCCTCCAATATTGCTACTACCACCACTGACGTTGTTGTTCGTGCCACCACCATTACTGTTACTATTGACAAGACCCTTTTGCGCAAAGTTATTCGTTTGCTTAGCCATTTGTAGTGCATTATGCAAATCTTGTGCAGATGCACCCATACCTGACTGGGTCTGAAAATGTAACTGCTTCTGCATGTCTTGTATATTAGGTGCACCAGAAAAGGGAGCGGGAGAGTGGGGACTACTTTGTTTAGGGTTCATTTCGACATTTCCTGCCATGTGTGTTGCATTTTGTGCAAGAGAATTAATCTGGTTATTATTTGTTGACATACCAAGCACGACACTACTACTATTACTACTGTTGGGGTGTCCCATGTTTAGAGCATTATTATTCGAAGAGCCATTACCTGCAAGGTGGCTGCTATCAATGGAGTTTTCATTATTATTATTGTCCAAGCCATTCATTCTGTTGTTGCTGGAGTTAGGGTTACCACTTCCATTCCATGGTGCCATAAAATTATAACTGTCATCGTTCGTGGCGTTCGAATTGGCTCGGTTGTAATACATGCAATAGTGCTTCTTTTGATTCCTCAAGTGGGGCGCACAATCGCAAGGCGCATTAGTACCGTTCATTTCAAAGTTGGCACTGCCACTATTCCCGTTTGTGTTATCACCTCCATTTGCTCCGGCACTACTACCATCCCCATTCACATGGTGCGAGGTCGAAGTGGCACCAGGGTCCACCATCTCGCTCTTCGTGTTAGACATGCTGAGCACATTATTATTGGCTGCTTTTTTTCTATTACCCATGTGCATCTTTTTAGCCATATTGGGCTCAGGCGAGGCACTGCTTGTATCACATAAATCACAAGGGTTGCTGTTTAAATTGTTGCACAGATTATTTTGCGAATGTTTTAATTGGTTAATCCAAGAGGCGTTATCAGTGGAACAGAAATTTAACTCATTCATGTCGTCAATTCGGCCATCTACTCCAGCTATTCCTACCCCCGCTCCATTCTTACAATCATCCTTCATGTCCTTGTTTAAGCGGTGCATCATGTCAATCACATGAGGAGAAATATTTCCTCTATATGGATCAAAATTATAATCATAATAATTTGGTAGGTTGCCCATGTTGGGTAGGTTAAGCATGTTGGCCATGCTGTTCATGGTCATGCTAGCCATACTTACTCCATTACTTGAGTCGTTTGCATTTTCAAACATATCTCCTGCACCATGGTTAGGCAAGTATAAATGGGCACCTTGGGATGCATTGCCATTGATTGAATTGGCCGCGGTATTACTGTTGGCGAGGTTGCTATTGCCAATAGGGTTATTCACACCATTTGCACTGTTCGAAGAGGCCTTCATGCCACCGGGCCCAGTACCATTGTTTTTCCCATTACTACTGTGTAGGTATGTATGCTTATCCATGTGTGGCATACCCATGTTCATATTATAATTTTGTCTGAACAGGGCATTCATTAAATGTTCCACATCTTTATTATGTAGTCCTAAATTTTCTTCCATTTTTAAAAATTCACTAACACCATTTCCTGCACCACCTCCCACTCCTCCTTGCATAAGATTCGAATGAAACATCAAATCGTTCAAGTAGAGCATATTATTACCATTACCACCGGGGCCACCCCCATTACTTCCACCGTTGTTACAAGCGTTGTGACTATTACCAGTTGCACAACCAGTACCGTTAACATTACTTTTGACACTGCTCAACATGTGCATATTGCCTCCAAACATGTTGGGCGGACCTCCTCCATTATGCAGGTACATTCCACTTGGGTCTTGCATGCCTTGAGCCATGCCTCCTAAATTTGATGAGTTGCTTAACGAGTTGTATGCATTGTTCATGCTATTTCTATCATTTGGGGACATGCCAGTGAGGTTGAAATTTCTATTCATGTTTTGCATATAGAACCCGCGATTCATGGGCATGAATTGCATTGGGATGGGAGTGCCATTGGGGGCAGCTCTGTTATTTAAATTATTTGCGATGTCATTACTCAACATCCTTGGTACCATCTCTTCATTTAATTGCTTCGTTTTACCTTTACCTGTTTTATTTTTTGTTGACTTTTTTCTACCGTTATTTTCTAGCGATTTCATAAATTCTACTGCTGATAATCGGGCCTTTTCCTTATCCATATTAAAATGTTTGGGGTGAAAAGTCCTACTTCTTCTAGACGCGCCATCATAGAAAAAAGCTAGCCAGGCACACATTCTCTTGTTCCAACTGACCCCTGGATACCCGGATGAAGACGTAGAAACCTTTTCTTCCTTTTTTATTCCTTTATTTGCAGAAGTGGTGCCTTTGGGCCTTCCTACTTTCTTCTTAATTACTTCTCCTGTTCCAGACTGGGCAGAGCCCTTTGTTGGGGGCTTATTGCTTCCATTCATCACAGGGCTATTCGCCAGATTACCAACGCCGTGGTTGCCATTCGACATGGTATTCACCACGGTGTTCACCACAGTGTTCACCAAATTATTGGCTAGAATGCTGGGGTCATTACTTGGTGAGCCTTTCATTGGTCTCATATTTGTGCTGCTGCTGTTGCTACCACTCTTGTTCATATTACCTTTTCCCAGGACATTACACATGCTGTTCAAGCTGCTCGTCCTTGGAGTGCCCACTGAGTTCATCATGTTGTTCTTCATTGGGCCGACAAAGGCACTGCTCATAGGGTTGCCAACAGCACCGTTCATGTTTCCGGCAAACCCGCTCCCCATAATGCTGCCCATGGCCCCCATCATGGAGGGGGGGGATGTCGCTGCGTTAAAATTGTTACTCACTTTGTTACTGCCATCGTTCGTTGCTACCTTCCTGTCCAGCGGCATAACTACCGGATTAAACGTCTGATCTGTATTCGCAACTTCATCCATTTTTTTTTTTTTTTTTTTTCTTCTTCAACGTTGTGTATAGCACAAAGAGGGTTAAGAATTATATAAACATGACAAAGTGGCCTTTTTGTTTTGTTTTTTTTTTTTGTCCCTATTTTTGTCACTCTTCAGATAATGTCAATTGTAAACGAAGAAGATAGTGTGTGTGTGGTCCTCTGTATTGCGCATGCAAAGAAAGCAGCAACGACAACGATAAAAACTGCTGTTCTGCTTCTACACACTCGTGGCAAAGACTAAAAATTCACACAAGCGCACGAAAACAGCACTAATTGATTGTGCTGGCGTTGGGACAGGTGTGACAAATATGTGCAGGTTCACACGCTGTGTTGTACCTGGTGCAAGATATTACACGTGGTTAGAAGAATCTGCAATGCAAACCCATCTAATTATCACACAACACTGTGGTATGCTATACCAACATATGCAAATATACACGCGCTGCAATATGTGCTCCCATACTTACTATATACACCGCGGTGTGGGGACCCAAACATACGCAATCGTACACACGTGCGCCGTTGAGTAAATCAAAAGAAGGGGAAAAATATATATATATTCACAGTGGGACACAATAGGAAGAAAGCGCGTGCAATAACACACCCGGTGTGTAGAATGCAGCTTTACCCAAATTGACACGAAAAATCAATACAGATGGGGTGAGAGTTCCACATAAATATAAATGACATAAAAAAGGTGCGTTTTATATTTGAATCCTAGCATGCACAGTTGTTACATGTGCTTACACAATAGGTGCATACTGGTAAGGCAACACTTACAAATGTATGTGCGTGCGCTGACTCTCAAACGCTTCGTGCCAAGCATGCGCAACAACTGCCGACATGATAAGCATGGTTTACTCAAAAGAGGGGGGGTACCACACCTGGCAGGTGCTGCTCAAAAAAGGCTCGCTTGTGTTTTGTACGTATTTTTATGCGCATCTGTACGTAACTATACTATATTGTGTGTGTGCATTTGCACATGTGCTTATGTAAATGGGTTGCGTGAAATGTACATGTGTAAAAACAGGAGTAAGTGTACACACATCTGAGGGTGTTGAATTTAATTAAATAGGCATAAAAAAAGAAAAAAAAGGTCGTAAATAAAATAAGGGAAAATGAAGAAATATGAGGGAAAATTACAACAAGTATACACATGTATTTCGATAAACGGTTTAAAAGGGAACATAAAAACGCACTGTGGTGTTACATACCTGCATGGGCACAAGTTAAAAAAAAAAAAAAAAAAAAAGCAACACAGGGGGAGAGCGCGCCTATTCATATTACACATATATTTGCACGCGCATATATACATGTTAGCGTCCCCGTCCTTTGTTAACAATAAAGAGAAGAACAATCCTTAATAATACGTTAGAGAAACTTTCTTGCAAAGAAAAAAAAATAAAATCAAATAAAACGACATATAATAAATAAATAAAGGACAGTTATTAAATAAAAATGAATAGGCAAAAATGAATAGCAAAAATGAATAGCAAAAATTAATAGGATAAAATAAAAAGGCTAAGAATATATTACAATAAATAGGGTAAAGTTAAACCTAATTAAATTAAAAACAGAGAATGTTCAATTCTTATACTCAATTTCGCGCGTAGGTCATTGTAAATAGTACAAATTACGCACAAGTGAAGGCGACACACAACACGTTGTAAGCGATGCACACATACATATGCATCAAACGCGGAGACACAAATTTGCAAGTGGCCTCAAAATATAAAAGTTACATAAAACACACACTCACATGTAGGGGCTATATATATACATTTCAGAGAAAAATAACACAAAGCACAATTTCGTTGCATCAAATTTTAAAAAGGGTTACAAACGACTGTTTTTGACAGATGCAACGTTGTAAAAAACAGGGAAAAAAAAAAAATTTTTTTTTTGTCTAAAAAGGATGCATACATATGCACACCATAAATAATACCCACATGCGTGCAAGCGTAAAGGTATATGTACAATGTGCCACTGCGGCGTGACCTTATATGGTGCCGGTATTTGTCCCGCACATATGTATATATACATATAAGCATACACACATATAAGCATATATACACATATGCGCATGCACAAATATACGTACCGTGTGTGTTCAGACTATTACACGCGCAGTGCTCATACATTCACATATATGCACACACTCCAAAAAATCAAGCCACCTTTACATGTCAAGTGTGGTTGCAATTTTCTCTGTTGCAAATTATATAAAGTTGCTTTTTTTTTTCTTTTTTTTTTTTTTTCATTCATGTGCTTCTTTTCCTTTTAATTATGTTCATTGGTCGCGACATATATACATATATATGCATACATAACATACGTACATGTTACACATCAAAAATTAACACGCCATGGTGATGTTCTCTTCATTTCCTCTTTCCTCAAATGGTTCGTAAAAATTGTACTTCCAAAAGGGGAAAAAAAGAAAAAAAAAAACACACATCTCGTGTGGCGAAAAAGGGGGCGCAAAATGTATGTTCACGCGTTGAAATGTTTTTTAAAAAGATGAAAAAATGGCAACATGTAAAGATGCAAAAAGAAAATAAATAAATGAATTATACGTAAAATTATCCAGATAAATGTAAATATAAAAATATGCACAAAAATGAAAACAGCCTCAGCCACTTACACTGGGGCCCATGAACTTACGTACCAACATACGAATATAAACAATTCCGTTACACATACGTCTATGTTCCAAGTACATTACACATAGGCACTTGTTCTCCTTAGGTGTAATTTGCACTGGTGCCTTCTTTGCCCCCTGTGCGCTCAACAAAGGGGGAAGTAGAAAAAAACACAAGCGCGGTGTGCTGCTGCCACTAGCCTCTCTCCCGAATAATTACACGTGGTGAATGGGAGTGTTTTAATGCCTCCCCGCTGGGGGAATATAGGCTGCATATAAGTATGGGTACCGTAACGTGGCTGGAGTTATTACACATGTGCATTCTCATATAAGTATACACGCACACAGGTGTACTCTATTATGTGCGTATTTGTATACGAAAATGCACAGCACCCGCGGGTCTATAAAACGTTATTCAACCCGTACAAGTTGGTACGCGGTGTGCGCGTCGCTTAAATGGACTTGCGCATGGACTATTTACCATGTGCGTACACACGCGCATGTGTATATATATATATGCAACGTATGTTTGTATTATGTGCACTGGTGGACGCACGTAAAAAAACAAAAAAAAAGTCGTGCACTTAAATATATATGTGTACAGTACCGCGCGCGTGCTTTTACGTAATATACATACGTACAAATATGCACATATGCTACAATACGTACAATACTTACAATGCGTACAAGTACGCACGACATGCATACCGTGCTTTGCGTACGCGTGTGTCACTCGAGAGCAGATTGACAAGCGTGCGGACTACATACATATGCATGTAGTATACGAGTACACGTACATGAATTATGTGAACAAAAAAAAATAAATAAATAAATGCGTGACTCATACACATATACACGCGAGGCGCGTATGTTCTTGGCGTAACATCAGAATGGTGAGTGTATATATATATGTATATAAAAATGTTCAGGAACGTTCAAGCATGTACAAATGTGTACAAATGCGTAAGAACAAGTAAATCATGTATATATAAATGCTATATATACATGTTACTTGTATAACAACTTACATACATCCACATGCATATATATATATATATATACATACGTACATGTAAATACGTACGCATATATACATGACTATGAGGCGTATGTGCGTATATAAATATATATATACAGCTTTTTTTTCTCAACATGTAAAGGTAACATTTAAATGACCCTTTGACGCATTTAAATCGCTTGTTGTATGTTGAAATTCAAAAAAATCATGCATTCCAAAACAGCATGTAAAATTAATTTGCGTAGCAAAAATATATATTTTTCAGATTCACTTAATTAAAAAATGCATCACCATTTTATATTTTCATGCGAATATATATATATATATATGTAAAAAGTGGGAGTACATATATATAAATACGCAATAAATATATAAATATATAAATATATATATATATGTACTTATATTACATACGCATTTATACTCATATACGCGTACAGGTACCATGCTTGTATATAAATTCAATTATTTTTCTCTCTACAAATAAATTATTCGTCAAATTCAGGTGCTCGCCATTTTATATATATGTAAAAGGGAAGAAGTGGTTGGGTGAGCGGTATATATAAAAATATATATAAAAATGCGTAGGCAAACATATACAAAAATATATATATATGTGGATGCGTATATATATAAATTCATATACTGGTTGCACATCACTATCACATCACATAAACTTGTGCTCATGCCCTATGCACTTCGTACGCCGCGCACGAAAATTTTCAGGTATAATTTGTAACTTTATATATATATGTACTTATTTTATGTACATATAAATATATATATATTGTATATATACAACCTATTTTTTGCGCGCGTTCATTTTAAGTTGGTATATACGTATACTTAACTGGGTTTACATTTCGTCCACGTATATACTGCTGCGTGTTTATGTACCATATATACAATATACGTGTATTTATTTATTGTACCCCTTTCTGGTCTTAGGGGGGGTGGGTACCCCCTTTTGCTGAAGCACGTGCTGGTGCCCTTTTCTTTTTCGTAGAACCTGCCCTTATACAGGCATTTCGCATAAGCGCCCCCGTCGCATGTACGGCTGGGCTAATTTTTTTCAAGCTTGCATGCAGGGCCTTATTTTAAAAAAAGGAGATGCTGCGCGGGGCCCATACACAAAAGTGTATATTTATATAATGTATATATAATATAATCGCAACTTATATATATTATTATATACATTTTTACTACAGAATCTGCCCCATAAATTAGTAATTTCTTCCCCAAATGCATAATCACGAGAAAAAAAAAAAAAAAAAACCTTCTTTTAAAGCAGCTGAGAGACAACTGCAGCGACGAAGTTAGTCCAAATCGTTATGCAGGCTGTGCATTGCACGATTCCAACTCCAGCTCTTCACGCGCACGTATGCAAGTAGGTACGTATAAACATATAAACAGGTCGGGTATACATATACTCATGCGCAAAATGCACATGAGGCGGTCACGTGCCTTACCATGTTGGTTTACACTCTTGAGTATGTAATTATGCGTGCATCCAACAAACAGCAACTAGGGGTGGGCCTCTCCTTCCCACCAAGTTGTTATGATGTAAAAATGTTTATAAATGTGCTGACAAAAAAAAAAAATTCACAACATTTACATTAAGTTATACGTGCAAATGTGGCAAAAATAAAAGGTACTACGTAGACATAGAACTTAAAAAAAATTGACAAAAAAAAAAATAATGACATCGCACAAGAAACACTGGTGTAAAAAATTGTTACATTGTAGCACTCGCCCTTTACAAAATGTGTATAGCCGGTTGGTAAAAGTATTTTCGCCTTTGCTAATCCTATAAATGCGTGTATACGCAAAATACGTAGGACTTAAAAAGAGAGAAAAAAAAAAAAAAAATTAATGCGCAGAAACAACCGGTGACAAAATTGAAACGCACGAAACGTGATAAAATAATTGGACTCACAACAAAGGGGAATAAAGACAAGGGGAAAGGTACAAAGTTCGCACATGTAATAACGTGCCCATGTCCTCATGAACACATGAAAAGGGGATGACAATGTGAACTCACGCGCCTACCACTTACCCCAAAGAGCATTTGAATCTGCTTGGATATAGCACTGTTTCGATAAAGCAAAAGGCAACGAAAGTTGCCCAACAGGAAATATCGCCAAGTACAAAAAAAAGAAAAAAAAAAAAAAAATGTTGCGGAGTAAAATTTTCACCTGACCAGCAAGGTAATAATAAAAGAAAAAAAAAAAAAGTTCATTTAGCTGTTACAAATGGTAAATTCCGCACAATGGAATTAGCTACACATTAGTCAGGTTGGCAACAAAAAATGGACGCATTTTAAGTGGGTGAAATGTAAAGACAAATAACGCATCGTTGTGTTCATTTTGCGTGTAAAATATACACACTCTAGGGTTTTTAACCACGACGTGCTCTTCATCAATGAGAAGAGAATATGTTCTATATTTGTCGTGGATTTTTTACGCCACCAAAAAAAGAGGGGAAAAAAAAGGAGCACCCAAATAAACAAGCAAATTAAAGCAAAGTGGCGGCACAGTCTCACGTAAAAATACACAGCCTTCATTTTTAATATGCCAGCAGTTTCTCGAATAAGAGGAATTAGGGAAAAGACAAAAAAAGGCATAGGGCAAATGTGTATATATGTATATTTTTTCTTTTTTCTTCTGATGAAGGAGGTTTTTTTTTCTTTTAAATTCGTTGTAAAGATAGTTCCACTTTGAATTTAAGAAAATGTATAACATTGTGCAAAACTGTAACTGCAATTTATAAAAAAAAGAAAAATATATGTATACACAATGTAGGAGTATGTGCGTGGGCACACTTCAACCAATCGGAAAAAGAAAAAAAAAAAAAAAAACGATTGAGTCCACTATGCTTAGAGAACCGTTTATGTGACGATTCCGAAGTGTGTATGTACACCGCGTATATTCTGTTGTGTAAAAACACATTGGGGAGGGATGTCTCCATTTGTGCCTCTGTGTTGCCTCCATTGCGCACAGGGCCGACCATAAAACGGCTAGTCAAATCGCGAGAAAGGTCATGATGAAAATACTTCTATCAAACCGGCATCAGGTGAAAGACATAATTGCTTGGGTTGCACATTTTGAGTTATTTGCCCAACTGATGCATTCCCGTGTCCACATGGGCGCGAGGTATAAAGACGCTTAATACAAATGTCACAAATAAAGACGGGTGTAGTGGAAACGAATATATAATAATAATCGAAATAGAGTTCAAAAAAAAAAAAAAAACAAACAAACAAACTGATAAACGAACGAATAAAAAAAATGATGAAATCAATCGTGCCGCTGCTTCTCCTATTGGCGCTGGCCTTCACCCAAACGGTTAGACTGCAAACAACGAACGATGTCCCTTTGATCAATTACCAAATGGTCCCTTCGCAAAGGTAGCGCTTAAGCATGAAGGAAAATAAATCTTATTTCTGAAAATGAAAAAAAAAATGCTACGCACGTTGTGTGCTCAAAAGGTACCTGGACATCTCGCGTCATTAGTGGCCTTTCTTGTGTATCAGATGGAAGGTGTCCGCAAAGGAGTTGATGAAGTTTAAGGAAAAATTGAAGACTTTTGTGGCTGCAGGTTAATTAGAGAAGAGAAGAAAAAAAAAAAAAAAAGACAGACCACTAAAGGAATACCTGCGAAGCGAAGTTGTTGCCATAGTGGAGCACCTTCACAGGGGTGCCAAGTACGCGTAAAAGTGGCCAGCCGTCAGCACACCGCCAGCGTTACACCTGACCCCTTCCTTTTACTTTAAAGAAATTCAGAAAGAGGGATCCATTCTGCTTCGAAAATATTACAAGGAATTTTACGCATCAGGTACTTTTTCCGCGCCCCTTTGGAGCATTTTTTTTTTTTTTTAAACCATAACGATGTTGCATAAATAATGAATTTTTTTTTTTTTTTTTTTTTTTTTGTTGAGCAGATGAACAAGGGGTAAGAACCAAATGGACGCATTTCAATTTGGCAATTTGATGAGGACACATCCTATGTTTTGTGCTCACCGCGACTTTACATTTTTTCCCCTTGGGGAATGCTAGCGCTAACTAGGAGGAGACTACATGTGTAGATATGTTGTTGTGTGTATTTATCATTCTCCCTACGGGGACACATTTGTCCTTTTCCTTTTGCACTTAGGATGAAGCCCAGTCTGGGGAGTCTCCCCAGGAGAAGGAAACTGATGATGCGTCTCCGTCTGAAAAGACAGAAATGGGTAGAAGAACGCAAATTCGCTAGGGTGCATGTAGAATTGTGTGTTACATTTTATTCCCCACATTGCGCCATATGTGCCATGCCTTTTCTTTGCAGGCGACCAGGACGAAGCCAGTAACACCCTTGACTTAAACGGCCCTATACAATTAATTTAAATTTTGTGGAAACGAACGGAAAAAAAAAAAAATAAATAAATAAAAGATCAATCTGTTTTGTCACTGTTTGTGCTGTTCTCGCGTGCATATATATACGTGCAGCGCTTGTTTTGTTGCATTTGTTTTATTTTATTATAATTTTTTTTTTTCCCCACATTTTGATACGTGTTAACGTGGAAGCAATGTGACATGCAAACGTTTTCACATGGTGACATTTCTTGACACCCACTTGTGCTGTTGTGCTTTAACTATTTGCAAAAATGTAAAATTTGCGCAGCTGGCCTTTTCTCCATGCAACATGCACAACGTAAAATTACTCGCGCGCATATTTGTGTGTGCATATAATCCAACAGCGGCCTGCAACAGGTGAAATTGTATAAAAAAATGTGCAGACTGTACAAAAATATTGTGCGAGTGGCCTCCAGGGGTGTATATACACCTGGGTGTATATGCCCCTGGCTGCCATCGATCGAATGTTTAAACGGAAAAAAAAAAAAAGCCATCACATGTTATGCTCCAAATGTAGTAAAAGAAATACAACTTCCCATCCCCCCCCTTTTCAATAGACCTGCTTTTCCAATTTCTGTATATCCTTTTCGAGCTGGTTTAGCTGTTTTTCATAATTTTCCTTTTTTTTTAATTTTCGAACAGAGTTAATGTCCACCACATGGGATATTTTCAAATACTCCTTATTAATTTCGTTGTATTTATTTTTCAGTTGTGTTAGCAGGATTTCCTTTTTCGCTTCCAAATCTGCGGCCACTTTTTCTTCATCAATAATGTCTTGCTTTTTCAAATTTTCTTTTTCTTTTAATTCATTTTTGATGTCAATGAGGTATGGACTGACTTTCCCGTAATCTTCCTTAGTCAATGGGTTTTCACTCAACAGGATTTTCCCCTGTTTTTTTTTTACTAGGACAGGTTTGGAATGAATAACCTCCACGGCATTATCATATATGTAATCAACGTCGGCCGTTATGTTCATGAGTGGTATATCATTTCGGTCTGGCAATGGGTCTTTAATTTTTTTTTTTTTTTTTTTTACTGTTAATAAAGTTGGGTTGACTTTTTTTATTTCATTTAATGAAGGTATCATTTGATTTTTTTCTCCTTTTTTTAGGAGTTTTTTTTCATAGCTTATTTGTAATTCTTTCACCTTTTTTTGTTTCTCTATTTTTTTAATGGACTCCCCAGACACGTTAGATATGTTGTATCGTTTTCCCCTCAAATTGAAGGTCGAATAACTTGGCATTACGTTCGGGTCATGTATTGATTTGTACAGAATTTTTTTTAATTTCTTTTCATCACATTTTCTTATTATTTCATACGCGTTGTCATCTTCCAACTTCATGCTTTCGAATAGCTTTTCGTAGTTCTCCATTTTAGTTTCTTCTTTTTTTGTGCCCGCTTTTCTACGTATTTTTTATGCAAGTATTTTATCCTTATGATCTACTTTACGTAATAATGTTTTCCAGTTCACGAGTTGGCTTCTCAAACTTGTAGCAATTATGCGCTGAGGACTCTTCCTCTTACGCAGTGTGTAATCCCTTGCGCAAAAAGGCGGGTGGCAAATTACCGGGAAAACCGCGAGGCGGCTTAGGGGGCAGTGAGATTGGACACGGCGAAGAGGAAAAGGAACTCACGCCCGCTTTGCAATTTTCATTCACTTAATTTTTCGCGTCTATATTGTGGAAACGTATTTTTTGTATTTGGGGGAATTTTTTTTTTTTTTTTTCCTCGCAACATATTCATGTGTACACGTGTATTCCCTTTAATGTAAATGAGAGTGTCTAAAAAGAGGCGAAAAAAAAAAGCCCGCCCCTGGACAGATGAGGAAATTATTTTCTCTCCATTTGATTCCAACTTTTTAGGAGAGAAAAAAAAAAACAGAGAGTATACTGTGAAAGTCTACGCAAAATGATCCGTCGTACGAGCAAAGAAAAATTATTATATAAATATGCTTTCATGCGATTTACGCGTTTTATGTATACTAGCGCGCGATTGTGTAAACATAATTGCACGTGCGCTTGTTTACATTTTGTTGCCTCGGCGCGTGTGGGGACCTAACAAAGTGACGTCTGCCCATTTTCGCGCAGCCCCATTGAATTGAATAGCTACGCAAAGTTATTTTGTCCTTTTCCTCTTTTCCGCTAAAAAGTGGACATGTTCGAATTGGCTTTTTATCCACCCTCCCGTCCGCATTGCAAAAAGATGCAACAAAACAAATTGCCAATAAATGAACAGGGACGAACGTTATTAAGCGAACCTCTTCAATCCCCCGCCCAACTGAATATGGAGACATGTAAAAAATTGACAACTGCGCTAACTGTCCTGGCTTTACAGGAACATTATTAAGCGAATGGGAGAAATGCCCGCACGAGCCTATTTTTCTAGTTAAGCCGTTCCCAAATGAACCTCACTATCGAATTATTATTACAAAATTCGTGTTTCCCGCAGCTCGTACTATACTTTGTGTACACTGCCTTTCTAGGGATTACCCCCTTTTGGATGTTAATTCGTGGCCTACGTACAGAACATGTTCTTATTTCATCACGTACAACTTTGCCTGTAGGAATTGTTTCAAATGTGGAACCCCGCGCATACCCGTGCTTTTTATCATTGTGAGGTAAAAAAAAAGAAAAAAGAAAAAAAAAAACATTCCTTCGTTCCTCTATATTAAAATAAACTAAACTGCGCGGTTATTTATTTCCTTAAAATAAGTCGTTGTTTAAAATTGCGCGCAAAAAAAAATTAGCTAGCACCTTGCCGGTTCATAATATTTTCCCTTGTTCTAAAAAAAAAAAAAAAAAAAAAAAAATTATGACCTGTCATGTAGAAAGTTCAAACGGTAACCAAAAAAGCTAGCCGTGTTCAATAGATAGTTAAATTGAAACAGTAAATCTAATTTGGTGGAAACTTGTAACTATGTAACGCGCTTATGCTTTGTTATATATTGCGCATGAGTATATTTGTTACATTTGGTCGCACTTGGAAAAGGCAACGTTGAAACTGAGAAAAAGTAGCCTTATAGCTCCAACCACAGAATAAAGAAGTTAAAACGGGAAAGCATCTTTTGTAAAAGGGGCTCTATACATTTTGCGGTTCATTTTGTTCACCCATTTTGTACTGAAGAAACAGCTACAGAACAAATTTAGTTTTCTCTTTCTCCTTTCTTTGAAGATTCGCCGAACCAGTTTGAACAAAATGAGGCCCCTTAATGATAACGAGACGATGCTGGTGTTTAAGAAGCTGTCGAAATAGTAATACGCGAATATGCCCAGCATATGCCTTCGTGCGTGCGGGCCTGTATATATCTACGTTGCTGTGCATATGACAAATTTGTGAGAGACATCCCACCCCCTTATGAAGCGCTCACCAGAGAATGGCAAAGCGCAAGTAGTGTACATACGAACACATATAACCATTATTGCCATTTGTGCAGCGTCGGAAATAACCTGTTGAGCATGCTGTCCTACAACAACGAAGAGTACGTATTAAGGTTGCACAGGTCAAGCGTCTACTTCGTTCGGTAAGTTTTAATTAAACCAAGGACAGAAAATATGTACAGGACATGTTGATGTGCTCTCGTAACTGTGCATATTACCCCCCCTCAAGCTAGTTGTGAGATGCGCGGTACACATACCACATCGATTAGCGACAACCCATTCACCCCCCCTTTTTTTTTTTAACTGAATCCCCCTTTTAGAGCTGAACTGGCGAAACAAGCGGAGGCAATAATAAATAAAAATTCATTGGTGAGTTCAGTGAAGACCTGTGCAGCGGGATTAATGATATAAAAATTACTGCGTATGCAAAGTTGCTGCATCGCATATGTTTTTCAGGAATGTATGATTCCACCAATGTTTGGTGTCCTGTTTTAACGTGTCCATTTTTTTTTTTTTTCTCCTTTCAGATATCCCTCGGAATATGCCTCGGGAAATTCACGAAAGCGAATAACTTTTTCATAAAAATTACGTCTCTATCATTTTTAAATGACTTTTGTATTCACAAAATTTGGCTGAAGGAATCTGGGGAGAAGAACTTTTTATTTGGCAATAACGTATTGAAGGTGGGTTACTCGCGGGGTCTTCTCCCCCATGTGCATAATTTGTTTACGCTTATGTAGAGCATATATACATCCATGTTGAATGTATACACAAGAAAAAGTGCCATTCGAAGGGGCGTTTTTTACATCACAGGCAAACACACAAATGTACAAAACGATCCTCGCGTTTCCTTCCATACAGAGTCATCTGCTAAAAGTTAGCGACAATATAAAAAAGGGAGACGGAATTATCGTCCTCTCGATGAACGACAGCCCCATAGGCTTTGGCATATCCATAAGGAACACCCAAGACATAAAAATTTTAAATGTTACTGACATTGTTCTGATTCACCAGGTATTTTACTTTTACCCCTTTTGCGCGACACATGCAAACAGTTTGGACCGCAGCAATGGGGGACATACTTTACGAAATATTACGTAGACATGCGCGGAACGTTCTGTGCCCACCTTCTGGCTTAGCACATTAGTGTACTTAATTTGTTCTTACACTGCCCACACATGTAAACTTTTCCCGTATGCTTTTTTTCTTCCTTGCAGGGGGACGTGGGTGAGTACTTAAGAAGCGAAGCAACCATATAAGGAGGATCGCCCAAGGAAGACCATTTTGTTTTTTCCTGTCCACGCTTCCAATTTTGGCTCATCGGGAGTGGTGCACGGAAGAGGGCAATACGTAAAAGAAGTACCATGATGGTATGTCCAACATATGCACGATATGCAAAATTTGTTTATTTCCTTTTTTTTGTTTTTGTCAGCTTGATATGTTTGTTTGTTTTTTTTTCTTTTTCTTTTTTTCCCCCTCTGGTAACCTCTTCCTTTTATTGTGTACATTTGTCCACTCCCCCCCCTTTTTTTTTTTTTTTTTTTCCTTTTTTGCGTCATTTGATTTTTGCATATTCCCTTTTGAAGAATAAAACATTTTTGAAACATCCATTTTGAATATGTACCAACAAAACTGGTATCCTATACGCAATTTTTTAAATTTGCAAAGGTACATAATGGAATAAGTTCTTACGCATGTAGAGTTTCTCACTTGCGCTGAGTCGACAACTGTGCTATATGCCGGCAGGGCAACATCATCCCTGTTATTGGCTAGCTTAACGGTTGCTTTTTTTTTCTTTTTTTTTTTTTGCGGCATAGCGTATACATGCTAATGTTCGGACAAAGCGTTAGTAAAATAGGAGGCATAACTAAAATGTCCTCATAAAAGAATATATGTAAACGTTATGTCATCCCTTATTCGCATCAACCTGTAAAGGGCATTTCTCTTTGTCCCGCGGCGCTGCAGAATTTACAGCGTGGCGAAGTGCGCATACCGGTGGAGTGCCTTTTTTTTTAAAACAAATGGAAATAAAAAAAAATAAAATAATACGTTTTCGAGGAAATAAAATTGCAACGTTGGTGATGAATACCCCTTTTTGACAGCTTGTCCTTCATGCGACAGTGCGGACAAAATTCGCAATGACGTGTAAATGAGGAAAAAAAAAGCAATTAAAATAATAAGAACTAATCAGCAATTTTTTTTTTTTTTTGTTTTTTTCGTTTGCCATTGCGCGGGAAGCATGTACAACTGCTTTATGTAATAATTTAAACGACAACCACGCCAAAACAACAATTCTGCTGAATGGGAGAGTCGGCTTTGAAGTTGACCCCGCGCCACCAACCCCCCAAGTGGTAAAACAACAGTCAAGGGGAAACCTTCGAAGGGTTCCATGTCCCCCATAAATATACTGCTCTCCTTTTTACATCGCTGCGAAGGCGTACATCCGTGCCTGATCCAATACAGGACATTTCATTCCTAAAGAGGGGGAGAAAAAGGACAATAAAAAAAAATGGGGAAGAAAGCTATTGCGAAGACGCAAAAAAAAAAAAAACACAAAGAGATCGAGCAGTATGAGGCCAGGACATTCAACAGAGACATCAGCAACAAAATTAAGAGGAAAAGTTTCAACCTACCAAGAGTTAAAAGAAATGGAATAATAACGTATGACGATGACGACGACGATGATGATTACAATGCTGGGGGAAGAGGACGGCGAAGTGGTCTCCATAGCGGTAGCCAGAACGAGGAACAGAATAGGAAGAAGAGTAAAAAATTCGAAAAGGGACAACTGAAATTGAAGAAAATGCTAGAAAAAATAAAGAACAAGAAGAAAAAAATTAAAAATCCGCTAGAGGAAGAAATGACCAAAATTGAAAACAAAATGAAACACTGTCATGATATAAGAAATGAAGTGGCAGTCATTTCGAATAGCATCATTGGGAATCAGGACATGCACATTGAAAAGTTCGACCATCTCTTCTTCATATTTAGGGAAAGCTTGACGAAAGGGAGGGAGCTCAAGAGGAGGGCTACCATCGGAAATGGCACTTTCCCAGGCGCAGGCACTACTAAAAGAGATGCGGATAGAAAGACGGACAAAAACGAATTGGAGAGGAAGGTTAAGTATTACCAAATGGCCAACGCTCTGAGCTCCATATCCATCTGCACGGTGCTCAAGTGCATAACGCCTTCATACAAAATTATTGGTAGTGAAAAAATATCAGGGGAGAATAACAGTACCATTCAAAGGAACGAAGAACATACCTCTTTAAAAGGGGAAACAAATAAGGGTCTAAACTGTATTGAAGGGGGAGGCGCCATGAAGAGCCTGTCCAAGCTCATGATAAATGTAAACAAGATAGAACAAAAAATTGTTCAGTACTTTAAACAGTTCTGCAGCATCCTAAAGGAAAATATACGCAACAATGTAACTCTGTTTGTGAATCTGCTATGTGAAATTGTAACGGTAAATTTGCACCTGTCCAGAAGTGAAGGGCTTTTTGACTATCTCACTTTGTATGCGAATATACACACGTACTCGAAGAAGAAACACAACGCCATGGTAGAGAGGAGAGGAGGGCTGACCAAAAAAGGAAAGACTAATATACACCTCCTTTGTATGAAGTGCCTAAACACGATTAAAGAAATTATTGACAATGATTCAAATTTGTCCTTCACCATAACCCTAGTAGACTATTTTACCAACTCTCTTTTTAAGAGGGAACAAAATGTGAGTCCTAACTTATTAAAAATTTTTTCTCAAATTAGCATCACGGAGAAAAAAATCAGCGCCAAGTTATTTTCTGGTGAGGATGCAAACGATGGTGGTTTGGGCAAATGGAAGGATGACAATGTGAGGACGAAGACGAATGTGTGTGGGGAGTTGAGAATTATTGAAAAAAATACGGAGAAAATATTGGACCAGCTTTTTTTAGTGTACTTGTGTGTGTTAAGGGGTTATAAGAAGCACTCCGTTGCGTTAGTGAAAAACGCCCTGCAGGGTATATGTCATTATGCGCTTTATGTGAATAAGCTCCTCATGGATGATGTCTTTGCCGAGGTGAAGGCGCTGGCCACGGTTGGAACCGCTGCGGTTGGTGAAGCGGCTGATGAAGCGGGTGGCGGAGGTGGAGGCACTGCACCGCCACCCCTAAGACTGACCGCCGCGCGCATTTTTCTCGAAATGATAAACAAAGTGACGGACGACAGTTTCTACATTGACTGTTCCTGGGTGGCGAATACCCTCCTGTCTCTGCTAGATTTATCCTTGCCCTATTTCCACCTGGGCTCGGTGCACTTCCTCCTCGAGGATCAGAATTTCATGTACAGCAGCTTCGGCGACTTTGGAAAATGCAGCCAGAGTGATCCCCTCTCAGGGGGAAGACAAAACGGTACATATGTCGACAACGCGGAATGTAGTAACCGTGGAGAGGCAAACGAAAGAGGGCAAGTACAAATGGGGTCCAAAAACACCAGTGAGAAATATAACTTTTGTGCAGAGCTTCTGTACTGCATTGAGTTACTGCTAAACACAAAAAGCTTCACAAGTAACTACAATACATTCAAGTCAAACAACAATCAGCTACTAGCCAGAATAGTCTTCGAGTTACAAAACATTGCTGTGCACTCAGACTATATAATATCCTTTTGTATTTTAAATGTTATTCAAAACATTTTAAAAAAATACCCACTTGTTAGATCCATTGTAGATGAGGACGGAATTGTTATCTCTTCCATGAATGATAATTTGTCCATTTTTTTTTCAAACTTTCTGTTTCATTCCTCTTTTGCTGAAGACGTATCTTCCTTGGGGTTCAACATCTCTTTGTTTGACTCTGATGAGAGTAGGAACGCCATTTTGAATAACTACATAAGTCAGCACGTGCGGGAAAAAGACCCGAACAAAGTGATCCATTTGAATCTTTCCTTGAGTGAACCCAGAATTGTAAACGCACACACATTTATGAAGTACCCCCCAGAGGAATGCGCCAGTAAATTTATGCAATGTGGTTTTAAAAAGTCATCAGCTGCCCCCCGTGATGGAACTCATGGCATGGGTTTTAAAAATGCCTTTTGTGGGAACTCTTCCCTTGAGAAAAAGGCGGGGATTAAATTCACCGGCACAAGTGCAAACTTGTCTGTCAGCCATGTCCCTGCACACATGCTCACCGCGATGGACTTTGTCGAAATTGTTTTTTCCCCCTACGAGGAGTTGAGCAAATATTTTTCAAAGGACTGCGATAAGGGAGAACAGTGAACAACGAGGCAGATTGACTGTCGCCACTTTGTCATTTGTTTTTTTTTTCTTCTTCTTTTTTCTGTTAACTTTTTTAAAACTGCGATCACATACCTTGTACAAATGCGTATACATATTACACATAATATATGTACACATTGTGACCACACAACTGTGTGTACGCTGCCGTCGCCGCGCAACTACGTTGTCGCCTCTCAGATCAAAGCTCCCTCTAATGGGCAGTCGTGCTGATGAAATATTCCACCCCTTCTTTTTTCTCATGTAAGTCCACTAAGAAGGAAAAAATTGAAACGGGGAGGTGGGTCCACGAGGGGGACACCTCACAAAGTATAAAACGTAATGAGTGGGATGAATTGGGATAGGACGATGACCAGCTTTGGTTTGTATGAAGAACTGTAGTTTGCATTTTACATATGCTTGGCAGAACATGTTCTTCTGAAACGACTTCGTAGTGGGCCTGCATATTTGACTAACTTCCTTTTTGTGCTTGTTCGAGGTTACCCCGTTTTATTTTATTTTATTATTTTGTTTTTTCCTGTATTTTAAAAGTTGTAAAGTATATTTTTTTCCTCTTGTTTCCACATTTGCGAGGTGAAAAATTACACTTTTTTGTTTTTTTTTTTTTTTTTTTTTGTTCATTGAGCTTATCCTATCGAGCTTGCTCATCACATTATGATTACGTGAACTGTTCGTGCCCTTCGCAATTATACTTCTTATATTTTATTATATTCCTTTTTTGCTGTTATTTTTTCCCTTTCGTGTAAAATTAGTTTGAACGAATTCTCCCCTTTCATGCCGGGCACGGTATTATATCCGATTGGTTGAGTCTCATCACCGTATGCATATTTGCCTCATTCGTTTACATTTGTTCGTATGCTGCGCGTTCTCCCCCGTTCCTTATTTGAGTTTTTCGAGTAAGCAGGGGCGCAGATTTGAAAGGTGAAGGGGTAGAGGGCAAGTTATAACCCAGTTGCAACGCGTCACATGAAAGCGGTAGTTATAAGCGCGGTATAGCAGCAAACCGCTAACGGAAAAAAACCCCAACTGAAAAAGCGATAAGAGGAAACTTGAAACCACACGAACCCACCGAGTGATGCATCAAGCGAACAAAGCGGAGGGGAAACAACCATCTGTCGCACAGCTAGATTTTCCGGATAGCGCATCAGACGACCACATCAGCGTAGAGGAGGGAAATGTCTGGGACACGGACATAAACATTGCAGACGATGACCTCCTTGTGTTAGGCGATGGTGCACAGGGAGGTGGAGAGGAAGCGGAACCACCCGATGGGACCAATTCAGGTTAGGGAAGAACCCATTAAACATTCGTCCCGTGAAGGGGTTGCTACTGCATTTCCACATGCGCGCACAACTATGACAGAGACCTCTATATTACCAACGTGAGTGTTTCATTTTTTTTTTTTTTTTTCATTCTTGTGTACACCTTGCAGGGGATGCGCTTATGGAGGACACCTCCAGGGTGGAACAGAGTGACGAAGCACAGGATGGACACATGCTTGAAGAAGCGGCCACCGTGACGCAGCTACAGAAAGAGTGTGACATTTTAAAAAAAAAATTAGAGCAGTATGAGAGAAGGAACGAAGAACAAGAAGCAGCGCAAAACGAATTGATGGAACAACTAAAGACATATGAAAGGAATTCGAATCAAATGAATGAAGAAAATTATGAACAAGTTAAAACGAATTTTAATAAAATTAGCATCCAATGCGATGAGTATGAAAAGAAGTTGCAGGAGGTGTACCTTCAGATGGAACAAGGTAAAAATTTGATGAAACAGAAGGAAGAAGAAATGAAGGAAAATATGACCAAGGCAGAAGAAGAGCTGCTGAGGAAAGATCGGATCATAGGGGACATGCAAAACGTAATTGAAAACTACCAAAGAGGAATAAACGACTCGGAGAATAACCTTAAGGAGATTGAAGACGCAAGAATAAATGATCAACTCATGTATAAAAAAGCAGTAGACAATTTAGAAGAAAAAATTTCTTACCTGGAAAAACAAGTAAATAACAAACAGGAGGAAATTTTTGAGTTGAAAAACAGAAATAAAGAATTGAATGATGAATGCACATATTTGAAAATGAAGGAAGAAAAAAATGAACAAAATATTTTCAACTTAAAATCAAATTTGCAAATGAATGAAAAAGAAAGTTTTGTCAAATATGAAATGATTCAAGAACAGAATAATAAAATTGAACAGCTGATCATGGAAAATAAAAAAAGCTCGAAAGATATAGAAGTTCTGAAGAGTGAAAAAGGAAAAGTTGAAAATGAAAATGAAATTTTAAAAAAAGATTTACTGTACTTACAGGAGAAATTAAAAAGTATTGAAAAACACAGCTATGATATTTACGAAATGAAAAATTATGTGGAGACGGTTATTGAGCAAAATAAGAATTTAATGGAACAGTTGGAGTGTGAGAAAAACCAGAAGGAAGAACTGAAAGGGAAAATAAAAGTTTTTCTTACTGAAATGAATAACTCTGCAATATGTCTTCAATCGTATAAAATGAAATGTTCTTTCTTTGTTGATATTCTTAGAAAGTGTGAAGCGAAAATGGGTATGCTTCAGATGAAGATGAAAAGTTACGAGTCTGTGAGGAGTGGCCATGCCAGGTGGATGGTGCACCCTGCATTGGGCGTAGGGGTAGGGGTAGGGGAGGTAGGAAGTGATCATCCGTTAGACAGCATCAAACAAACCATCCTCCTCAGAGAGGAACTACAAATGGAGATAAGAAAAGGAGAACAAGTCGCAGAAAAAATGCTCAAGCTACAAAACATGGTCAAGGAAAAAAATTTACTCATAAATGAAAAGAATTACAAACTCAACAAATATAAGCTTCTTAACAATAATCTGAAAAATGCCATCATGGGGTACCAATCTAGCATGAAGGCAATGAAGGAAAATATACATAACTTAGAAAAACAAATCGCAGTCAAGGAAGTGAAAAGTATAATGGTACCACCAAAGGTCACTGTGCATGTTTCCAAGCTAGCCTCATTTGAAAATAATTTAAAAAATGAACTCAAGGGACTTATTGGAAATTCTTCTACCTTTTTAGAAAGCACCTTTAAGTATATAAATGAAAACCCTATTAAAAAGAACCTCCAGAATAAAGCCTTCTTTTCCTCCACAACGGAGAAGAAAAGTGACGACGGGGAAGTGAAGGGGGGGAGCATTGTTAAGGAGACCCCCGCAAGTAGTGTGGTGTCCAACGCTGAAGGGACAATACCCAATTTGGCTAGTACCAGTATGGGCACCGCCAGCCCAGGAGATGGTAGCCTCGCGGATGTCACCGGGTTTGCCAAAAATTTTATTTACACGAATATGAATCGAATCCCCAATTTCATCCCTGAGCAGAACGGTAAAAATGGGTCAGGGCAGTTTGGTGCGGCAGCGAGAAGCGAGTCTCCCCAGCTGAGCGGAGACGATATTGCGTGGAAGGATGATGGAGCATGGGTAGAGGGAACGCACGTAGAGTCGAACCAGGTGGAACACTCCAAGTCAGATGCAAAGCCGGACGCAAACAACAAATACATCGACCTGTTCATGGGGAAAAAGAACCTGAACAAGGTCAGCAGCACAAGTGATATTTTGAACGTGCAAAACGTTTCGCAATTTTATGCAAACACGGAAAATAAAATTAAAGACTTATTCGTCCTGAATAAAAAAAAGGAGTCTCCGAAAATAAAAGAAAAGGAGGAAGACCCGAAAAGTTCCCATTCGAATGAAAATGCATTTTTCCCCATGCACATCTTCGGTGGCAGCAAATTGAAAGAAGGATTTCCAACTCCTCCAGGGGATGTAAAAAACGAGGATGAATTAGGTGGTGCGCCCACATTAATGGAGAACTCAAGTAAGTACGACCTTGCTGGGAGCAAAAAGAAGTCCCTGCATAGTTTGTATTATGATAACAACCCAGCACCAGAGGGGAATAATACAAAAGAGGAGACAAAAGAAACGGACAATCATCAGCAAAAGTTGCAGCCCATTTCGTCTGACGAAGACGCACAAATAAACGACGATGTGTGGAATGAGAAAATCGATTTGGACAACTTCGAAGTGGACGAGTTGTAAGAACAGAAAACTGCATTGTGGGCACCTCTCCAGCAGAGGTACGCTTAGGAACCATCGCTGTTAAAGTAACAAACCAATGTGTTTATATTTTCTCGTGAGTCGCATCGTGCTTGTATTCCATAGGATATCCACACCATATGTGTGTATTGTTTGACTTGTTGGAAGGAGGAGAACAAAAACGCCCCACCAACAGAGATTGCTCCCTTCCATTTGGACAAGGGGCGGTCCTTTATTTGTAACAGTTTTAAAAATTTAATTAACTTTGTTTTTACTTCATTTTGCTTTTCTTTTTTTTTTTTTGGTTCATGTTGATGAAAACAAAAGTAGTATCCAATTTTGTAATTTCTTTTTTGCTACGCATATTATGCGTAAAAGTGACGCGACGTATCTTCGAGAGGAAATGCGCAAAAGTAACGCTAATAGGGAAAAGTCGGGCAAAATGGGACAAAATAGGACAAAATTGGACAAAGTCAAATAAAGCAAAAGAAAGCTGGAGTTCTCTTTTCCCGTTTTCACGAATAACATTGTTGTATTCCCCCAATTTTGTTGAGCTAAAAAGGGAATAAAAAAAAAAAAAAAAAAAAACTTCACACATTTTTGACATGGACAAATGTACAAAATTCTGAACAGGTCAGGTAATTTTTGAAGTGTTCCAAATGGGGGAAGAAGTAAAAGCTGTATTTTTGCGTAAAGTCTTGTTTAAAATAAAACATTTGCTACACAGCGTCGGATGGTCTTTTCATATGTAGACGCAACGTATGCCTTGAAATTGGGTCTTTTTCTGCATTATATGCGCATTGTTGTAGAGGGGGTGGAAACAAGGGGGAAAAAAGCAGCTACACAGCTTGACGTGTTGCACATATACACGTATGTATTACCTGCCCGGTTAGTGATAAAAAAAAAAAAAAAAAAATGGGGAAACGAACCCTGTAAAGTGTTACCCACAACGTCTTCTCATCCCATTCACACTGTCCTTTATATATATATATATATATATATATTATTTTTTATGTTTTTTACGGGGAAGAAGATCCCATTTTTGCAAAGGTAGGGTTGAGTGAGCGGCAAGGCGATCTCTTCGTTTCACCAACCCGTTAGACCAACACCGTCAGCTGTCTCCCGCCACGGCGATGGACTCCTCGTGGATCCACGCCATCGGGATATGCTTAAGCACCATTGCTTCCGTTGTAGAGGCAGTTGGAAGCACACTGGTGAGGAAGAGCCACATCATTTATTCAAAATATGAGAAGCTTCTCGAGGCGACCGATTGCGATAGCGCCAGCGAGGGTGATGAAAGAGGGGGAGAAAAGGGGGAACAAAAAAGGAAAAGGAAATACTCCTTTTTAAATATTTCGATAAGAAGTCTACAACTCAGTGGACGCATTTGCTACAGAAAAGGGAAGGTAAAAGATAGTGATGACGGGGTGTGCCAACTGATTAAAAGGACCCCTTCGAGTGGTACCAATGAGGGAAAAGGCGACGATGGAGGGGAAGAAGAGGACCCACTAAGCAGCAGCCTCATGGAAAAATCATTAAGCGTAAATGTGACACACCCAGATGGTAGCAATTTCGACCAGGGCTATTTTTCCCCATATGATAATTCCTCAGAAGGTGAAAAAATAGGCCCTAGAAAATTTTTCTACGCAAAAGGAACGAATAACCCAAAGGAAGAGTACAAGGGGGAAGAAGACGCCACGGAGAACCATCAAACGAAGTGGGCCCAAAATTGTGATGACTCATTTACCGAATGGCAGAACGAACCATTGGACATGCACTCGATTAGTTGTCACCTCGGCGAGGAGAAGCATCCACGTAGATGGAGCAACTTTTCAGAAAGGGGCATAAATAAAAAAGTGAAAAGGAGGGAGAAGTTCTTGTGGTTCTCGAACAGGTCAACTTGTCGTGCGCTAGGGAAACACAAACGAAATACTTTTTACACCCCGCTGTGCAATGGGGAAAAAAGGAGAGAATGGAAGAGGTTCCTCATTTTAAATGGTTACTGTAGGAAGAGTACAAGGGAGCAGATGGGTGAGAGTAGGCATTCTATACGTGCTGATTTCTCACCAAAGGGGGGATTGCTTCATTGGGGAAAGACTCCCCCTGCGGAAGATGCAGCTGCGGGGTCTCCTCATAACAACAACATAATAATGATGAGCATTTCGCACAAACATGATTCTAAGCTTTTTAAAAGTGAAAGATTCAATGAGGGTTTTTCTGATGGAGATAAAATGTATTACTGTTCATTTCGGTCCGATCGGTACTTAGACAAGCTGAGTGGCGACACGCCGAGTTTGGAAAACGAAGAGGGGGTGCGTGCCGAGGCTTCGCTCACCAAAAAGCGGCGTGCAAACGGAAACGGGAGCGAACACGGGAGAGGTCGCGGACACGAATTGGGGACGCCGGAGGAAAAGGAAAAACACAGCGACGAGGAAGAAATTACGAGATGCTCCACCCTCAAAATGGATCACGAAAAGAATAGAAGTGCCTGCCTGGAGTCCACCCCCGAACATTTCCCATCAGATGTAGAACGTGCTCACGCAAATATAAAAACAAGAAGCTACGTTTGCTTCTACCTAGGAATAGCACTTACAAGTTTCATAGCCCCTGCGCTGAATATATTCAGTAATGTATTTCTGCCCATGTCGATGGTTGGCTTCGTTAGCGTCAGACTCATGTGCTCAATGCTGCTAGAACGATTTGTCCTGAAGGAGCAGCAGTCATTTTACTTATACGTGGGTATTCCTTTTTCTACCTTGGGCATAGCCTTAATCACTGTGTGCTCTGCGCATGGCGCCACCTTCAACGATTTAGACACCGTTTTGGCTTTATTTTTAAAAGGTGAATCGATAACGTTGCTCAGTTGCGAGATGTTCTTCGCCTTTGTGGTGGCACTTCTTTCGGTGAGCCACTTGGCTGCAGGCACCACTACACGAATGGTTGCTGAAGAGCGAAGTGGTGTTCCCTCAGAAGGTCAACTCTTTAGCTCCAAATTCAATTCAAGTATGCAGGGCCCGGATAATCATCCATGTAGGAAAAGAAGAGGCGGGAATTTTTTTTTCTTTTTCTCCCCCGTCTCATCAGGCATTATGGGATCCCTGGCGACCATATTCTCCAAGGCGACTTTCATCGGACTGGTTTCCGTGGTGCTAAACGAGGAATTGACCTTACGTCATTTTTTTTTCAATTATAAAGTAGCTCTCCTAATTATTCTGACCATCATTTGCTCCCTTGTGGAAATTGTATACACTCCCTTTTTGCTCAAGTATTATAATCTCACGCATGTAGTGTCCCTGAAGAGCTTTGGCAATATTTCCTTCAATGCGGTCAACGGGATGACCATTTTTGACGTAATGCGTGCAGGGGGCAGACTGTAGTACCTTTTCCGGCCCGTCCTCATTAGTACACACCTGTTGTGGCTTCCACAAGGTAACGCTTTTTCTCCGTGTACAACCGTAGATACTCCTTTTTTTTCCCCCGCAGGAAAGACCCTCGTGTGTGTACGCCTGGACCTTCGGCTTCCTCCTAATCCTCGTGGGCATTATATTCCTTTCATACAAAAATGTCATCCCAAAGGCGTTACGCCTCTTCAACCAGCACTGTCTCCGCAACACATGAACGCCTCCTTGCCATTCGAGAGAAGCAGATTGGGTTGAGTGGGCACTAATGAGTGAACATATATTCACAAACAATGTTAATATGATCTGTTGCGTATAAGGTATATATGTGAGCCAGTCAATGACACAGTTGAGCATCCAAGCTGGTGTACTCACATGTCTTCGCCACGACACAATGGCAATCCCATTTTATTATATTATTTTTTTTTTTCAAGTGTAACTTTTGCAAGATCGGCGTGCATAATGTGTGCTAACACATGTGATGAGAATTTGGTCGAGGAGGTTGGCTCGTTTATACTGCCTCCTACAAATCTCCACCTCCGTATACGAGAGTTGTGTCCGTGGGGAATGAACAGCATTAGACACACACACACAAAAAAAAAAGAGCAGAATCAAAATAAAATATAACAACTGACAAAGACAAAAGGGGCAGGGGAGGACGAAGGGTTAGCTAGACTGACATACAAAAATGTGACGTATGGTTGGTGTGGACATCCACGTCGAGTAACAGAAAATGGGAGAGGTGTTACTTCGAAGTGGAAGCGTGGCAAACGCTTCCATAAAGCACCCCCTTATGTGCGCATTCAGGGGGGATTATACACCCACGCGTGGTGTTCATACTAGTGTGTGCCTTTAACCCGTGATTGTGTGCGGCACAACCCAATAACCGCTTCGCTACATCACCACTGCGCACCACCGCTTCGCACGACCGCATCACTTGGGTAAGACCGAGATGGACGGGTGGCCCTTTAACAAGAACCGGTAGTCATACAGGGCAGCCTCTTCAGCATAGGCCACTCCTACCCGTTTGTCCCTCTGCACGACCATGTTCTCCTGGTCCCATTTCATACAGTTAAAATATTCTAGCAAGTGCATCTTGTACTGACTGTACACGTCCCCTATGAATTTATGATTTCCCCCTTTTTGAGCAACCAGTGCTTCGTAAAAATTTATAATTTGATTTGTGGTGGGACAGACGCTGATGAAGAATCTACTCTGTTGTAAATGGCTTATGTTGCATGTGGAGATGTGATCCGGGTTTATTTTTTTACCCTGGCTGGTTGCGTGGACCCCGACCTGGGCAGCATCAGCACCCTGCACGGGTGCTACCCCACCCGAAGTGCGTTTCTTCCCCTGCCGGGAACAGTGCGGCAGGTCGGAACAAAATCTGGCCTTATCGTCCTGCCTGGTAATACCTAAGCATTTGGTTACACACCCAGGGCCACTGCAAGCTTTGGTCAATTTTTTCATATTTACTAATTTCAAAATGGCCTTCACTGCTTCAACCCTTTGGAGCTTCTCCTTAGCCATAAAGTATTTACTCTGTTGTTGAGTAGATTCATCTGGGCCGTCAGTGGAAATGTCACTACCCTCTTCCCCTTTCATTGCGCATGCAGAAGGATCCTGAGAACGCGTTGCCAATATTGGCGACTCGGCAGAATTCATTTTAAACTTGTTAAGCAAGATAGTGTCCATACCATAACATGGCTCCAGTGATCGGACCAAAATGGCGTCCGGGATATTTTCTTCATTTGTTACAATGTTCAAACAATTGTGTATGCCATAGCAGAGGTACACGTAACTGACTCCTCCTTTAGCAAACATGGTAGCATTTCTGTTTGTCTTTTTATTATTATATGCATGGGATGCTTTATCTTCAATCCCGTTGTATGCTTCCAGTTCGGTTATCCTGGACCCATATAATTTTTTTTTCTCTTCATCATACACCCACAATATGTGTCCTATGAGGGCCTCCGTTATGGACAACACATTTCCTTGCAGGTAAAAATTTTCAGTGAAAAAGGTCATTGCGTTATGTTCAAAAAAGTATTCCATTAGCAGGTACACGTATGCCATGCATTCTAACTCGTTTGTGTTTTTTTTTTTTTTTTTTTCTCCTTTTTCTTCTTTCACTTCGTGCACTTCATCCGCTGCGTCCACTTCGTCCACACGTTCTTCTCCTTTATGTTTTTTACTCTTTGGGGGAGGAGTTTTCCTTCCTGCCGCTTGGTTTTCTTCCCCCGTCAAAGCGCCACGTTTGCTGTCCATCTTCATCACTGCAGGGGACGCCGTGGCAGCAAGTGACCCTCTTCCCTTCCTGCGCTTCTTCTCATTTTGCATTATTTCTGTGTTGTGTGTGTGTTTGTGCGTTTGCGCGTGGGGTAGGCGGCGCTATTTTTTTTTTTTTTTGTTTTTTTTTTTGTTTTTTGCCTTTTTGCTTCCCCGCTGAACAGCTTGAAGGAAGCGCCCCAACAGGTTGAAGAAGCGAGAACGCGGAGGCAAACGGGTCCCTAACGGGGTGGTCCCAATTTACGGGGGGCTACATCCGTTAAATGCTCCCTTGCCGCACGCACCAGCGCTTGCATCTGTGTACATCTCCCCACTCACATCTTCAAAGGGTTGAAGGTTATTCATCATGGGACTTCTTTTCTGCGTAAAAAGGGCCCTCCGAATGAAGAGCACGCGGTTTAACTTGATTCGAACCCTGGGGGTGGTGTCCCTCCACAACGTGGAAGCATTTTGCCGCACCTTAAACCTATGAACGATTTACCCGTGTAGGAATTCCCCTCATGGATGCACGTGAAACCCACTTTGCTGTTTTCCTGAATGACCGCGCACCATTTGGCGTCCGATCCCACCCCCAATGCAGGAATTTTCTCATGGGGGGGAAAAAAAGAACAAAAAAAAAAAAAAAAAAAAAAAAAACGTGAGCAACTACTCAACCGTTGCATATACATTTGGGGGAACCCCCGTCGTAAAGAGACTATTATAAAGTCTTCATTGTGGAAAGGGGTACAGGAGAGAAGCCAATAATATCATTAAGAAGGGATCACATTGGTGGGCTTATCATCCCCCCCCCCCAGTTCGCTCCTCGCAAGGGAAATCACTCCATATAATTGAGACAACGACAAATATAAGTGCAAAGAGGCGTACCATCCCTCCGGTGAACACTGAAACGGGCAGCTCTGTTAGGTGAAGAAGTGGGTCAGAGAAAAATGGGTTTCCTCTTTCACCTGAGCGGAGTTGCAAAAACCACATTTCTTAACGCAGCACACGAGAGACGAAGTGTTCACTCTGTTTAAACCCTCCAATGGGGTAGCAACAGAAAAAAAAAAAAATAAAAAGGAACGAACGGAGGAATCTTCCCCACCGTTGCGAATCGTTTTCATCAAGCTGAAGGAAAAATTAAAATAACGCTGAGCAAGCGCTATTCCTTTTTAAATATACAAAAAAAAAAAAAACGCACATGATGGAAGAGGGAAACACACACGTGGAGTCGGACGACAAGCAGGTCTGTGAAATGCACACAGGAAGAGAAACTCACATGAACAAGAAAAAAGTATTCTACATTGTGCAAGAAGTACCCTACGCCGATTTTTACAATTTTGAATATGAGTCAATTGATAGGTTTAGGGGGTCAGGAGAAACGCAGTGCATCGACGGGGAGACATCTTCTTCCTCCGCTTCATCTTCCTCCTCATCATCGTCATCACCATCATCGTGTGCTGGACTTGGTGATGAGAGGACGGGAAAGAGGACACATGCACGTGGCCGTTGCGCCGGTCACCAACAGACAAATAGTGCAGAAGACGAAGGGGAGAATCACGAATGTGTAGAGTATTACCAAAGGGGGGATACTTCCAATAGAGTCTGTCGCCCAGGTGGCGAACCCCAAAAAAGCGAGGCGAGTGAAGAGTATACCTGTTCGAATAAACTGGGTAGCGGGCGAACAAATTTGAAGAAGAGCGAAAAGGGAAAAAGGAAAAATGAATTCCTGAAGCAGTGCGAATTTAACAGCGATGGAAGTTGCTACTACACCATTTCGAACAGCAACTGTTTGAGACTTTTCGCCACGGACCTCTTATTATTAAATGAGTTAGGTAGGAGTAGCAGTGGCAGGGGCAGTAGTAGGGACAATGCAGAGGGGAGCATAAACCTAGAGGAATTACATGCTAAGTACGAACATATGGACATTCAGGAGAAAGAGAAAAGGAAGACTAGTTGGGTCTGCATGCAGTTGGGTGATCATATATACGATTGTAAGTTTTACCCTTTCTTTGATTGGAGTAACAGTAACACGTGCTTCTTAGCAGCCTGTTCGAAGGGCAACCCTGTATGTCTGTACAGTGCGTATGATGGGTCGTCCATCATGTCGTTCAAAACGTTAAACGAATGCCACGAGATGTGTAACTGTTATTCGTTGTGCTTCCACCCCGAGAGGAATTGGCTTTTATGTGGAACCAACGCCAAGTCCATTAAGGTGTTCGATATTGAGAAACCGAATGAAGTGTACGAGAATCGTATCCTAAGCACAAGGAAAGGGAAAGGGCAAAAAGGAATCATTTCAACCATGACCTATAAAAAAAAAGGGTACGGGCACAACGCAATTTATGCTGTTGGGGATTACAATGATTGTATACACGTGTACGCAGACAACTGTGACCATAAAAATGATTTCATTTTAAAATTTCAAGTTGATAAAAAAAGCTCGAATGGAATAACTTGTATAAAATGGCTAGATGAATTTTCTCTCCTAAGTGGAAGTAGAAATGGGTCCTTTATTTACATGTACGACATGAGAAAAAGTACAGAGTATGTGCACAAGTGGCAGAGATTTGCCTTAACAAACCAAAAGTATTTATTTGATGTGTACAAAGATTTCCTCATCAGTGGTGACACCTTTGGCTATTTAAACGTGTACCACTTGAGGGAAAATAAACTCATGTACAGGCAGCAAATTAATAAGTACTCTCCAATAGTGTCCGTTGCTGTGCATCCTATATATCCCCTCCTTTTAACAGGATCAGGCACCAGACGCTTTTATGAAAATAATAACAGCAAGGTTGATATAATGGCCAGTGTGTTTAGTCATGGGATGGACACGTCCGATGATCATCTAATGGACGACGGGGCGTCTTCTTCGATTTCCTTCCCCACCATGTCGCGGTATATAAACAGCGCTTGCACAGTTTGGTGCGATTTTGTTTAGTGAAGTGTGGGTAGTGGGAAATCGTGTTTCCGTCTTGTAAATTTTTTTTTTTTTTTTTTTTTTTACCCTCATTTGATCACTCCCCCTGTAGTCGCTACCACAAGAGGCAATTTCTCTTCGTTGCTTCTCATTTCAGGTTGGGTGTATACATGCACGTATGTATGAATGATTATATCAGCGTGCACATTTTGGGAACCCATTTTTGTAAACGGGTTAAATGAATCCGCTTCATCACGCTGTGTGATGTTTGATGTTTGATTTTTTGTGTCTCGTCTTCTCCGTAACACTTTATTCGAACATGTCTCTTTTTTTTTTTTTTTTAATAAATTTTAATTTTTTGTGAGCAGTGAAGCTTCCATGTTTCCATTGCCCATTTTTTGTAATTGCGCAGGATGGGAACACAAATGGGGGGCGATACCCTCCCGGTGGTTGCGTTCGTTAGGAGGGATGGCATAGCGAGGCGGTTAAATGACTCTCAATTTTCCTTAACAGGGGTGGAAGAAAACAGCGGAGCGTACTTTCTCCCCTTATTGAGCATCCCTGTAGACCCTTCAACTCAAATCCCATTTGTAGGGGCACCACGACAAACGTATTATCCTCGAGCATTGAATGGGACAGGTTTGTGAAGGACATTTTACAACATTGCTAAACTGCGTTATCAACACGGTTTTTTTTTTTTTTGTTTTGTTCTCGGGGGGCCTTACACCATTGTAAATTTATTCTCCTGTGCACCTCTCCATTTATAGGTGCTCCATCGTTAACTGCTCCCTTGTCGCATTAAAAAAAAAAAAAAAAAAAAATTCTCCTTTTGAAAATGGCTCTACGACCTCTTAAATGGAATAATGTGAGGTTCTAACACAAATCATCCACATGGTGGAATTTTTTTTTTTTTTTTTTTTTTTTTTTACACAAAACGTGATGTACCATTTGTGGTTTCTCGCCTTTGTAGGCCAGAAAAAAAAAAAAAAAGATACGTAGGGATCACGTTGGACCGCACAGCCAAGGTGACCTTCGCTTTGTCGTACTAAGCAGGATGCACCCGATCAGTTGCACACCTACAGTGGCTTCTTCGTAGAGGACTCACACCACAACAACGCAGTAGTAAGGACCAAGTCACAAATGAAAGGGTTCATTTTTTTGCACACCCTGTTGTTGCTGGTTGGCATGCAGGAAATGAGGGCTGAGCGTGTGTACCCCCAACGCGGAGGGAATATTCACGTGAGGAGGGCCCCACAGGGTGAAAGGAAAAGGGCGTACATAATAAATGTGAAAAGAGGGAGTGTGCAGGATGGTAGAGGGAAACGGGAGAGGTGGTCTGGGCGGATAAAATTTAGGAAGCGGGAGGACCTCGCATGTGGGGCGAAAGGTAGTGACTGTGCTGCAAGTGGTAGGGGCAGCAAACATGCCCTTAACGCCGCTAACGCCGCTAGCATGGACAGCACAGATAGCATGACGAGCGGCGGAGGTGACCCGGCCCCCATGAACGTGGCCATCTTCGGCAGCAGCGGGAGCATCGGTACGAACGCGCTGGACATCATTCGCGAGTGCAACAGAATCAAAAAGCGCTTCAACGTGGAAGCCTTATATGTTAACAAAAGTGTGAATAAATTGTATGAACAGGCAAGGGAGTTTTTGCCAAAATATGTGTGCATCCACGATGAGTCCAAATATGAAGAGTTAAAAGATTTGTTAAAAAATATAAAAGGTTACACACCAGAGATATTGGTAGGGGATGATGGAATGAAAGAAATGTGTAAGAGTAGTACACTGGATAAAGTTGTAATCGGGATAGACTCGTTCCATGGTTTATATTCAACCATATATGCAATTAAAAATAATAAAATTATTGCATTAGCAAATAAGGAGTCCATTGTGTCTGCAGGATTTTTTCTCAAAAAATTATTAACAGTTCATACAAAAGCGACTATCATTCCAGTGGACTCAGAACATAGTGCAATTTTCCAATGCCTAGATAATAACAAAGTGTTAAAGACAAAATGTTTACAGAATGATTTTTCCACAGTAAATCAAATAAATAAAATAATTTTATCTTCGTCAGGTGGCCCATTTCAAAATATGTCTCTTGATAAATTGAAAAAAGTAACCTCAGCAGATGCCCTCAAACATCCCAAATGGAAAATGGGACCAAAAATAACCATCGACTCTGCAACGATGATGAACAAAGGACTAGAGGTCATTGAAGCTCATTTCCTATTTGATATAGATTATAATAATATTGAAATTGTTGTTCATAAAGAATGTATACTTCATTCGTGTGTGGAATTTATTGACAAATCTGTTATAGGGCAAATGTATTATCCTGATATGAAGATACCAATCCTGTTTGGTTTGAGTTGGCCTAATAGAATTGACACAGACTTACCCTCCCTTAACTTGGTGAATACATCTCCGCTCACATTTTACTCCCCCTCACTAGACCATTTCCCTTGTATTAAACTGGCTTACCATGCAGGTAGGAAGGGGAACTTTTACCCAACTGTCCTCAACGCTGCGAACGAGGTGGCCAATAAACTTTTTTTGAGTAACAAGATTGGCTACTTTGATATTGCGGCCATAATATCGGAAGTCCTGGAGTCCTTTACTCCACAGGCCGTCTCGAACAACTGCGAGGATTTGATGAACCAAATTGGGGACATTAGCAACTGGTCCATGCGCAGGGCCACGGAGGTGTACCAGGCGCGCTCTGGCGCGGCGCCGTGAGGGGCAGCGGCTTCCATAATAATTTCCATTCACAACTCCAATCACATTTGCACAAGGATTTTTCATAATAGGGGGAGTGGAGGCGGAGGAGACAGCCAACCAAATGAGATGTCTCCCCTGTGAAGAAGTCACCCGTAGAATGTATACAAATGAGCAAGACATAGCCAGGGGATGTTTCCCCCCCCAAAAAAAAAAAAAAAAAAAAAATTCCAAGTTAGCTTTCTTCCCCGTCATGTATCAACGCATTCAGATTGTCAGATAACTTAAAAAAAAAAAAAAAAGTGAACAAAAAAAAAATGTCAAGTGGTTAAGCGGTTAAGCGATTGAGCGGTCAAGACGAGCAGCGGTGTAGTGGTAACGCGGTGAAGAGGTAAAGAGAGGGAGGACTGTTTGCGCATTACTACACCTCGAGGACTACCCGAATGTGTGTGTGCGGCTCGCGTATTATGTCTGTTTTCCCCTTAGCACGGATGTTAATCTTCTTGGTGTACCCGCCCATATTAGCCTGCAGCGTGTGAAAAACGGGCTTGATATTATTGCGCCCATATTTGTTAATGGCGTTAAAGAGGCATGATTTTATACACTTGTAAATATTCACTGTATATTTGTTCGTGCCGTAGTAGTACAAAAATGCAAAGGCTTTTATTATGGGCATGTATCTGATTTTCCACAGAATTTTTCTCGTCTTCATAAAGGACATTTTAATATACTTTGCTGTTGCAGAGACTAGTCTTTTTTTTACATAGATGACAGGATTTATTCTGTTTGTTTTAACTCTCTTTTTGTAATTCTCCACATTATTTTTTTTTATATTTCTGTACATGTTGAAAAGTTCGTTGTACTTGTTGTTTAGTAGAACTTTCTCGTAATTGTTGCGGACATTTTCCACGTGCTTTTGCTTCCACTTCTCGCGTACCTGCTGGCCCAGGTACCACTGCTTCAGCTGTAGGCAGTCATTCTGGAAGAGGTCCAGCCCAGCAGCGTCCCCATCGTGAATACCTGCACGCTCATCAGCGCCATCGTCACCACCACTATCACCACAACGTATGTCTTCCCCTTTGTCTACCCCATCTAGCACGGGGGGGTCGCACAACAGACTCCCCCCCTGTCCCTTTGCAACGCTATTTAGGAGCATCTCCTCCCTTGCGCCTTTCTTCCGTTTCAACACGTGGTAGTGGTCGTTTGTTCTTTTCCTTCTCCCTCTATGGGCCATGTCACCACCACCGCTTGCGGTAAAAAAGCTTCTCACAAATGGCACATTATCACTTATCATTAGAAGGATAAACGGGACGGCTATTTTGGTTAGGTAGCCCATCATTTATTCCTCTCCACAACAGGGTTGGCTTCACTCTCAGCCAAGATACCCAGTTGGCAAACGGTTGACTGGCAGAGAGTTGATCACTCCGGTGCGTTCTTTTTTTTTTTTTGGTCAACCACAACGTTCACAGGAGGGCAAAGCGACGTACATGCCCACGTACGTACGTTCTTACATGTGGAGAAAATTCCCTTCTCACACATCTCTCAAATGGTGTGTGTCCTCATTCGGGAAATGTTCCATCCAACGCTGCTTGCGCGTTACACCCCTTCTGTTTCCCACTTCATTCTCAGCAGTCCACTGGAACCTTTTATTGCTGCCCTGCTCGCTTGACGAATTCTCCGGCATGTGCATTTTTGCACGAAATGGTAAGCGTTCATAATGTTGGCCCGCAAGGATTCCTACAAGGATTCCCACAGGGATGCGCTTTGGAGAGAATTGGAAATTTATATTTTTTTTTTTTTTTTTTTTTTTTTTTTTTTTGCCTTGGTAAATTGGGCAGGCTGTAACTACTAAACGTGTACGCACGTGCGGGAATTTTTTTCGCTTTTTCGTTTCGCTTCCACCTCGTGCTGTCACCTTGTCACTTTTTTTTTTTTTTTTTTTTTTTTTTTTTTTTTTTTTTTTTGCCTTGGTAAATTGGGCAGGCTGTAACTACTAAACGTGTACGCACGTGCGGGAATTTTTTTCGCTTTTTCGTTTCGCTTCCACCTCGTGCTGTCACCTTGTCACTTTTTTTTTTTTTTTTTTTTTTTTTTTTTTTTTTTTTTTTTTTTTTGCCTTGGTAAATTGGGCAGGCTGTAACTACTAAACGTGTACGCACGTGCGGGAATTTTTTTCGCTTTTTCGTTTCGCTTCCACCTCGTGCTGTCACCTTGTCACTTTTTTTTTTTTTTTTTTTTTTTTTTGTTCAACGCTTTGTTCGGCAAGCTAAATGCGGTGTCACTTCACCCTTTGTTCTTTTTAACAAGAGTACCTTTTGGTGTTAAACGGGAAGCACGCTTTGTAGCGCCATTTCGAGAGGTGAAAAAAAAAAGGGATAGCATGAACAGGATTGACGAATGATGAGGGATGAATACCTAATGTTGAGCAAACCATCGGGACGTTACGGGGAGGTCGCGCCGCCGATCCGAGTTGACGCAGCAAAGAAAAATTGCAGAAGCAAAAGTTGAAATGGGCAAATGAGCCGCTTGATTATAATTCTACGTGAAGAGAGGAAAGAGCCAAGGGTTGAATAAACCCGGGGTGAGGAGACATGCCAACGGGACTCAACGTAGGGGGCACATAAATGTGCTATGTAACCCCTGAGTCTGCATGTACAAGAGGAGTTACATCCCCCCTGGGTGTGCGTAGTTCCCCCCTCCCATTTGGCACAGCAAAGTAGCAGCACAGCAGCAGCGCAGCGAAAACTGCGCAACGGAGAGACCGCGTAACGGCGAACTAGCCACAACCACGCACCATGCCGCGCGCCGAGCCGGGGACGCCAAAATGGCTGGCGAACAAGATGAAGGCCAAGGGCCTTCAGAAGTTAAAGTGGTATTGCCAAATGTGCGAAAAGCAGTGCAGAGACGAAAACGGGTTCAAGTGTCACAGACTGTCAGAGACACACCAGAGACAAATGCAAATCTTCTGCCAAGACGCAAATAAATTCATGGACGACTACTCCTCCATGTTCGAGAAAGAATTTATGCGATTAATGAAAACGAAATATTGTCGCACACGTATCTTGGCCAACACTGTCTACACAAACATGATTAGTGATAAAACACACATTCACATGAATGCCACCGTGTGGGTCACTCTTACCGATTTTGTACTGTACCTAGGGAAGACAGGAAAATGCAAAATTGAAGAAACGGAAAGGGGGTGGTATTTAGAATATATCGACAGGGAAAAAATCGAAAGAGAAAAAGCTTTTGAGGAAAGGAAAAAAATTGAATACTCGTATGAAGAATTGAAAGAAAAAAAAATTAATGAAGCTATTGAAGAGGCTAAGAAAACGGGGAAATTTATACAATCGGAATATACAGGATTGAACAAGAAATCTGATGAAAAAATTGTTATATCTTCTATTAAAACGTCGCGAAAGGATCCTACTGCTTCTACACCCGGTGTTAATGTGCTTATAGCTAAGGCACGCAGCAAGGGGGAAGAAGGAAAGGGGAAGGTGGCAGACACTTTGCCAGATAAGCGATGCGCGGTAGAAAATGTAACCAAAGGTGCGGCGGTCAAGAAAAGACCCCTGTCATCCCTCGAACTTCTCCTTCTGGAAAACGAGGCAAAGAAAAGGTTAACAAATACAGCTGATAATTTAAAAAATCAGCAAAATAGCCACAACGAAATTGAAGCGAACCAAAATGAAAAAGACGAAAAAACGAATTCCCCCAGTAGTAAGTACTGCTGGTTATGCAAAAATATCGTAGTTAAAATAATCGACAGGAAACACAAATATTGTAACAACAAGGGTGTCATCGTGTCGGTCATGTCGGACGAAAGGAATAAATGTGAAATCCAGCTGAACAACATCGAAAAAAAAAAAACGTCAGCTTATCAAAAGCAGCTCCAAACGGTTATACCAAAAATCGGGCGGGACGTTTTGATCCTGAGAGGGCAGTACAGGGGCTTTCGCGGGGAGGTCAAACAGGTACGTCGCACACACACATGCATAATATACTTTTGCGTTTTACCTGTTCAGACACACGTTCGATTTGTTAATCGTCCATTTACACGATGCGTCTGCTTTTTTCGCCCCTCTTCGCAGATTTTAGCCGATGAGGAATCAGCCCTGGTTGCAGTGTTTGATAAACGTTTAGGTACTCCTTGGAGCTGAGCGACGTTGTGGCACTCGAAAGGGAAAAAATAAAAAGCTCCGCCCGCGCGTGCTCCCATTTTCGCCTGAACCGTTCATGTGAACAAAAAAGAAACCTTGAGCTCATTTTTTCCCTCCTCTCTTCTCCCCCCCTTCACCGTACCTGCAGGCAAGGTCATCACAGAAGAGCGCTTGCTATTTGATGACATAAGCAAATTATACGAAAGGTAATTTTTTTTTTTATGAGAACCTTCATCTCCTTTTAGCAATTTGTACGAGCCACATCGATATGTCGCACACACATATGCGGCAGTCGCGTGTGTAGTACGTAGCCCGTAATCCGTAGTACTGTTTTGTGTACTCATTTTTTAACCTTCTCCTAACGTGGACACCTGTTGCCTTCCGTCCTGGATGCATTTTCCCCTCTACACATCCATTTGTTTATAAAAACCTTATTGGAACTGCGCAACAAACGTTACATTTTTTTTTTTTGTAATTCATCTCGTCCATTTTAACTAATTCATTTGCTTATCAATTGTTCGCACGCAAGTGGGAAGTCCTCGTTTGTGAGCAACGGCGCAGATTACGGAGCAGCTTCAGGTTGTGTCAAAGTGGGACACACCATATGTTGAGAAGAAAGGACGGACTCCGTCGGCTAAGATACGTCCACGCAGGCAGAGTGTCCAATTAGACATTTACGGAAAAAAAAAAAAAAAAAATTAAAAGGTTAAAAAAAAAGAAATTTCAAAATACAAAAAAAAATCAGCAATTCTTCAAAATGAAAGCGAGCGTTCATCAGACACACACAACTTTGTGAAGGTAAAAATTTTTAACAAGTTGAACAGGTAAAAAAAAAATATAACTTTCTGGAGGTACCAAAAAATGTGGTGAGATGGTCTTTCACCCAGTTCCTCACCACTACTTGCGCAAATTTATACTCGTATTGTAGCGGAAAATTCTCGCCTTTTCCGATTTGTTCGATGGTGTCTCAAAATTTTGCGAACTCGTTAATACAATATTATTTATGGGTGTCTTCTTACCTTTGTCCTTCACAGACATGGAGTATTGTTTATTTCGTAAAGTTGAGCTTCTCACGTCAGCCTTTTGCGGTTCGGTTGTTTTTCCATTTTCCGTTAACATGGAAGCATCGGCTATCTGGCAACTTTTTAAAATAATTTTTTTTTGTTGTTGAGGTGCATTGTTACAAATCCACCTGACCAAACACTGGAATATTTTTTTTGTGTCTGTGAAATTGACCCTATGTGGTGGTTTGGTAAATGCTATTTGTGCACATAACATTAGCACCTTCTGGAACTGTCTTGCTTGAATGTATGTATTTCCTTTGCTTTCATTTAAAAAGATTTTTTCCAATTCACTTTTTGTTAATAAACTTTTTATAATTTTATAATGTTTTGAGAAATTTAAGAACAGCTCAAGGTCCATACCTTTTGCGTGACAACTCGCCTCACTGGTTTTTCCTTCCGGTTCCATGTTTCGCTTGGCGTTTCCTTTATCCTTTGAGTAAAAGTGAAACAACGCTTCAAACACATTTTTGCTGCTTGGGCTTCTTTCCCTCTCGAGGTCTTCATTCGTGGTTGCTAGGCTTCTATTCTGCAGTGCGGCGCCGTGGCCCTCCCTTTTCACCTGCGGCCCGTTGCTTCGTTCAACCCAACCTTGTCTGGCACTCTCCAGGCATCCCAATTCCTCCATTTGACTTTCCACTTCCATGTCCTTCAAAGAACTTGTGTTCATTTTGCCTGGGTTCGATTCGTCGGAACTTTTAATCTCAACTGGCCTCTTCGTCTTGTTCGGTTTCTTCACGTGCACCGCTGTGGTGCTGCCAAGGCGGTCATTTTTGCTACTCCAGGGTGTCTGCTTAGAATAGTAGTTCTTACTTTTACTCAATTTCTGTTTCAAATCAGCATGTTCATTTCCGCTTTTTTTATTCGTGCCTTTGTTATGTGTAGTAGCGCTACTGGCACTGCCTTCGTTTGACTGACCCCAAGTGAATGAATCGAAGCGGCCAAATTTTCTAATTATTTCTTCCTTGTCTTCCTCAGAAGTGCTGCGCGATATGTGCGATCCACAATCTGATGCAAAGTTGTCCGCGTGTACATTTTGCTTAATTTTTTTTTTTTTTTTTTTTAAATATTTTAATTTTAATTTGTGAAAGGATATCATCTCCTTAACACATTTTCTTTCGTATATGTCCACGTTTTCTTCCTTTAGCATATGTACATAATTTTTAATTCCATTTTCGATGTAGGACAGTAGGTCAAAGCTTTTCCTATTTTCCCCGTAGATGGTGGTTTCTCCCGTGTAGATTCTTTCCTGGGTCTCCCCGTTATCAGATGAAGGGCTCGATATGTCGTGAATGGAGTTCGCCACACATACTTTGCTTTCGTAGGTTTCTAACATTGCAAGGACGTAGGAAAAAAAAAAAAGGGGTGTATATATTTGTTTGTCTACACGTGGGGAAGTGCCACCTGGGTGCGTGCTTCTACAAGAGCCATCGCTTAAAGCACAAGATTCCTAATCAGCTGCGCGCACATCCTCATTCAGTGCTGAACATTTAACGCACAATGGAAGAGCTCCATTTATACCTAGATGTTTCACACCGTTTGAAAGGCACATTTTTTGTAAGGAGCCTCCTCTGGGCGTTGCCCCTCCGTTTGAATCGCTCTCCTTCGTGCTAATAATCCTGGCGATTGAGTCAGTTGCGTATTCCACGCTTCCTTCAACTTCGCCCGCTGCTCCGACAAGCAGTTCTTCGTTTTTTTCAGTAGATTTTTCTTTTGCCGGCTCGGACTCGTTATCAGCCTCGTTCGTTTTGCCCTCCGTCGAGCCCACTTTACCTTTCGCCCTTCTGTTCCTTTTGGACTCGCGCTTCCTGGGACCCTCTTTTTTTTTCTTATTTTTCCTTTTCCGCTCTTCCCCTTTTTTCTCGCTATCCCTTAAACTATGCATGGCCTCCATTTCGACGAGTGCGCCCTGTTCACATTGTCCCTCGCCATTTAGCTCTCCTTCCGAAATGTCCCTATTTTCTTTTTCTTGTTTGTGATATTCTACTCCTGCACTTTGTGATTCCTGTTCCTTTTTTTGACCAACATGATTCTCTGCTTCGTTCAGTTGTGTATCCCCTTGGTTACGTTTTACCTGCGCCTGCTCATGTGCATCACTACCACAACTGGAACTGCTACTATGGAGTCTACAATTGTCTCTTCCTCCTTTCATTTCCTCACTGGTAGATTTTATTTCTGCACTCTCGTTATTGCCTTTGTGGGTTGTACTTGTCGTAGTACCCTGTGCAAGGTCTCCCTCACATACAATGTGTCCTCCTGTCCCTGGAGCTCCATCTTCAACGTTATTCTCCCCATTTGACAAGACATCTTTTGCATTATTTGTTTCGCTCTTCACTTTGTTTATGTGTACTTCGTGTTGTGGCTCCATTTTTTTTTTCGTCACCTCCTGCGCTGTTGACATTTGTCTTTCTTCTTCAGCTTCCTCATGAGCATCTTCCTCGTCACCTTCCCCTTTCTTCTTTTTCTTTTTCTTCTTTTTTTTCTTTTTTTTTTCAACGCTTTGATTTGTGTGTGGATCCTCACTGGGGACCTCTATTCGTGTCTTTACGTCAGCTGCCTCTTCGACCTCAACGATTTGTTCGTCCTGTTCCTTCCCATATCGGTCCCCTGCGCCTTCATTGGCTCCAATGTTGTTTGGGCCATTCGGGCTACTTTCACTGGTTTCGACATTTGGGCTATTTGGTGTAGTTTGGAAATTTCCTTTTTTTTCTTTTTTTTCCCTTTTTCTTTCCCTCTTTTTTGTTGCCTCCTCCACAGGGGAACCACCTGTGGGGCACTGCTTAACATCCCCATCATCCTTTACATGGCGTGTTTTTTTCTTTTTTTTTTTTCCCCC